GATGTGATATTTCTCTGGTTTTTCGTCCCATCATCTTCTACCAATTATTTTGTATTCGGGGGAAAAGAAATCTGGAGGCAAAGGCAGAGCCTTTTCTTTCAAACGGCCTCTCTGCGAAAAACAGATGTTATACAGCTAGGGATGGCAACAAAACCCGAACCCACGGGTACCCACCCGACCCAATCCGGTCAACGCGGGTAAAATCCGTGTTGACGGGTTTTGGGCCGGGTTTGGGTTTAAACCCGTTCACTATTCACCGGGTTGGGTTGGGTTTGGGTTTAGGTAAACCCGGCCCGTGGGTACCCGCCCACCCATATAATTAATTTTTCGGTATATTTAAAATTCTAAACAACTAATTTTATTTATGTTTATGGAGACATGTCTAATTTTTTCTTTTTAATTGTGTAGAATGAAGTTGATGGTATGGAGTGGAGAGTAAAGAAACTTAATTGAAAGGAAGATACTTTCAATTAAACATGTTATTTATGGATAATTTGTGATTTGCTTCAATTTTCTTGAGTTTTCTAGATTGGTGTTGAACAATTTGTATTGTTAATTTGTGATTTGCTTGAATTTTCTAGAATGGTGTTTTATATATGGATAATTTGTATTGGGAGATTGATATTTGACTTTAATTTTGATAAGAACTTGTAATTGTAAATTTTTTACGACAAAACCCGTGGGTACCCATGAACCCGCGGATACCCAACGGGTTGGGTTGGGTTTGAGTTTTTCAAACACAGTGGGTTTTACCCCGGGTTTTTTTCAAAGATAAACCCATGGGTTTGGATTTGGGTTTGGCAAAACCCGACCCAACCCGACCCATTGCCATCCCTATATACAGCTCCAATCGGATACAGCTCCAATCGGATGGTTCTGTCCTCTCTCCCAGTGGAAAAGCTGCTGTCGGGGGATTGCTTAGGGACCACACAGGGAAGTGCCTTGGAGCGTACGTTTGTAACCTCGGCCACTGCTCCATTACAGCTGCAGAGCAAAGGGGAGCCTTGGAGGGACTCAAGATCGCTTGGAGAGCAGACTACCGCAAGATCCAACTTAGCATGGACTCCACCACAGCGATTAAAATCATCGAGAGAAGATTGGAAGATGACCATCGACATGGCAGCATTGCCGAACAATTTAACCACCTTTTGAACCTTCAATGGGATGTTCGTGTGTCTCATGTGTATAGGGAAGCCAATTCGGCGGCCGATTTCTTGGCTAGCAAGGCTCATGGTTTCACTTTTGGTACACATCATTTCAATGTGTACGACAAGGATCTTGTTCACTAGATCCGACATGATGTAATGGGAATTTCCGACGAATGTTTTATCGTCAATGTTACTTAGGCGCTTTGCGTCTACCTTCTTACCAAAAAAAAAACAGATGTTATAAAACGAAATGGTTAGCTGTTTCTTCGCCGACCTTGAGGTTTGAATCGAGGACTACAACGCTAAGAGACTTGCTCTCTATAGCTAAATGGGGTTCCCTTACAAGGGGTGACTATTTTAGATTTGATGTAAAATACCGTTTGGGACCGGACCGAAAACTGGATAAGAGAACCCAACACCCAAAATTTAACCAACTCCTCACTCTTTCATGCCTCAGGTCACTCAAATCCCCACAAGGTCAATCAAAAATCAAGATCGAATTGGGACTGTACTAGTTCAAGACCTGACCGAATCAAGACCGGATTGTATCCAATCCAATCTTTGGTCCTTATATTTCCGAAAAGACCGGACCGGGATCAGATCAATTCAGGCCAATTTAACCGGACCGGACTGTATAGCCATCCTACTTAAAACAATTAGGAATTGCAAAAATAACAAGTGTAAATTTTTTTAATACTTCAAATATTGGAGGTAATGGATGAAATTGGTTTTTTCACTATTCAACCGATCGATTATACACATGAATATGTATTTTGTTTAATAATAATGATTTTCTCTAATATATTGTCTAATATTTGAACTTGCAACCTATGAGTCTAAATCATTCATCTGGTTACACATTTAACCAACAGACTAAGTTTTATTTGATGATACTAAGTCCAACAATATTAATAGTCATGTTATGATATTAGTTTAAAATCCAACATCTTATCAAGATCTTTTTACCTTATCAGTTAACCTCACACTTCATTTTCAAAATGTTGACTTTAATTTCTACATAAATTATACTAGGAAAATCTCATGGATAAGTTGTGTATACAATTTTCTTTCACCATAATAAATTATTAACCACTAAATATATATGTTCAATAATTATTTATTATTTTTTGAAAACAACCATAGATAAATAATTCAGTGGAAACTAAAATCAGTTACTATCCAAATCCAAAATTTCATTTAATTTTCATTTGAAATTGAAAATGATAAATTAAATAAATGTGTTTTCAAAGCTTGTGTCCGTTAATAGATCTGTATAATATTTCTTCTGGTATATATGTAATCCCTCCCTAGATCTGGCCATTTCCAAACCGAGCAAGTAATGAAGATGATCAAGATCCCTAGGCTTCAATTGACTACTAAAATGTTTTTTCAAGGCTTGCATACCAATGATATCATCACTAGCAATGATGATATCATCAATATTGACCAGAAGGACAGATGTCAAGATTTAGAGTGGTGTAGAAACATGGAATAGTCACTATGTAACTGAGTATAACAGAAGGAGAGAGAACTTAAGTAAGTTTAGCAAGCCACTACCTAGATGCTTGCTTGAGGTCCTAGTCCTACAAGGACTTTCTTCATATGCAAACATAACCAGCTTTGGTGATGCCGGGGGAAGTTCGATATACACCTCTTCATCAAGATCACCATTGAAGAAAGCATCATCAAGTTGAAACATGTCCCAATTCTGCAAACGTTAAAAGTGTCTTTACTGAGTTCAATTTAACAATTGGAGAGTAAGTATCTAGGAAATCAATTCCATAGATTTGAGTAAAGCCTTTAACTACTAGTCTAGCTTTGTATATTTTGACAAATCCATCAACATGAAAAAATGACATACACCCATCTGTTACCAATTATCTTCGTGTGATAAGATTTTGGTACAATGTCCCAAGTTCTGTTGGCATCTTGTGCTTCCAGTTCTGAATCCATGACTTTTCCCCAAAATTCTTCTCTCACTACTTATTCAAAGGAGCTAGGAAGAATAGAAGAATCCACAACCTTCATCTTTTCCTATTGCTTTTAGAAAACCATCTAAAAATCCTATTAAACCTATCAAGTACAATGATTATGTGACGCATCTAGGAACCACACATACTACACCTGTGTATCCTATGGTTGCTTGTTTGTCATCTGATCAACTGTCCTTAGTTTTTTAACAACAATAGGAAGATAGGATGTGGTGAGATTGATATTGGAGAATCATGTAAAGGTTGAGAAGGTGGAGTAGAAGGAGAAGAGGAAGAGGTTGAGGAGTATGGAGTATGGAGTTGGTAAAAGAGATGTTAGAAAAGGTTTATTTCGTAATGATGGAGTACGATCTGGTGTGGTAGGCATTGGAGGAGAAGGTGTAGGAAATGGGAAATGTGGAAAATGGGTACTGGTGGATTATATGTACTCTAATTGTAACACGATGTGTTGGCATAACACAGACATCTAAAGACCCTTAAGTGGGATAAAGTGGGTTGTCATATAAGATTTCATAAGGGGTTTTATTTACAATGACTACCAATGGCCATTTGTTTATAAGATAAACAACATAAAGAACAATGTCTAACCAGAATTTTAGAGGGAGACCATATTGGAATTTAATTGCTCTAGTAACATTTAGGATATGTTGATGTTTCCTCTCAACCCTCACATTTTGTTGGGGTATCTTAACACAGGACATTTGATGAATTATACCATATTGGAAATACAATTCTGGTATATAAAATTCTGCTCCTTGATAAGATCTAATCATTTTCACTTTCTTATTAAACTGTGTTTGTATCATGACACAAAAGTCTTGTAAGAGCTTCCTGACCTCACTTTTAAATTTCATGAGGTATGTCAGAAGACGCCTAGACCTGTCATCAACAATGGTAAGGAAGTAATGAAAATCATTTGATAAGCTCCAAACCTCGAAGCTTGATAATCCGATCTTGCAATTCCTCACAAGCGTCCTCGAATGAAGAACTAGGGAAGAACACGAACAAAACAGAGGCAAAGGCGGAGTCGGGAAGAGCAACTTCAACACACGAAATAGGGGAAGAGGCTCGATCCAATTAAGGTGCAACTCGTCCACGATTGATGGGGGTGAGTCAATCGATACTAAGTTTATATTGTAGAGAGCTCGATTGAAGTTTTATATCGTAAATAGCTCGATTTGTGGTGTTCTACTACTCATCTTTATTCTAATTTATGTCAAAGACAATTGAGATTTTGATTGTATACATATTTTCATTTTCTGTATGTTTTGCTTATCATTAGTTTGCTTTATCTACAACTACACAAAATTTAAATAAGTCAATGGCAACAGAAACTTCTTCCATATCAACATCATTGATAAATCTCCACCCTATAAACTTTGTATGGCTATTGTGTATTTTATGTGGCACTCGCAACAAAACTTATTATTTGCTTAAATAATGAGAGAGAATTATCAAAAAAAAAAAGAAGGGAAGATATTAATGTGAAATATAATAAAATGAATCATTGAAAAAATATAATAAAATATAAAATAGGAATATAAACTACAGCAATATTGATCAAAGTACAAAATGTATAAATCGAAAATGTAAGTTAGTCTGGAGAACAATATGAAAAACAAATTGAATTTTAAGAACGGCAAGTATTATGAATTTAAACAATGATTAATTTTGATTAATGAGTTAATTTGTCAATTATATTAACCAAAAAATGAAAAAACATTTTTGTATGAACAAAAAGTGAAACCTGGTTAATGCGAGAGTTGGGTCCCCCATCTCCGTTCTCTGCTTTCGCCTTTCACCTCCAAACAAAAAAACAAAACAAAACAAAACACACATTTTCTCTTCGTCGTCCGTCCAAACAATTTCCGATCCATTTCTTCTCACCACGCTCAATCCTAAACATTCAATTCAATTCAATTCCATCCCCCCGCGCCGGCTGTCTCCCCACCCTGACATTCTCCGACCGCGATTATGTCAGGTTCTCCATGGTTGCGTCCTGAATCTTCAATCAATCGTCACACCCAGATCTCATCTTGAAAAAAAAAAATAGCGATAGCAGTAATTAATAATGTCGAATTATGTAGATTTCAACCAGAAGATAGATTACGTGTTCAAGGTCGTGTTGATTGGTGATTCAGCAGTAGGGAAATCGCAGCTCTTGGCCCGTTTCGCCCGGAACGAATTCAGCATCGACTCCAAGGCCACCATTGGCGTCGAGTTTCAGACCAAGACCCTCAGCATTGACAACAAGACCGTCAAAGCCCAGATTTGGGACACCGCTGGCCAGGAAAGGTAACCATCGCTGATTAATCACAATAAAGATTGAAACTTGATTCGATATAGCGGATTCTTATTTGTTTCTATCTAATCCGTAGATCATATGACATTGCTCTGTTTTTTTCCAGGTACAGGGCAGTGACGAGCGCGTACTACAGGGGAGCGGTGGGGGCGATGTTGGTGTACGACATGACGAAACGGCAGTCGTTCGACCACATGGCGCGGTGGCTGGAGGAGCTCCGGGGGCACGCCGACAAGAACATCGTGATCATGCTGATCGGGAACAAGTGCGACCTGGGGAGCCTCCGGGCGGTGCCGCAGGAGGACGCGCAGGAGTTCGCGCAGAGAGAGAACCTCTTCTTCATGGAGACGTCGGCGCTGGAGTCCACCAACGTCGAGACCGCGTTCCTGACCGTGTTGACGGAGATTTACCGGATCATCAGCAAGAAGACCCTGACCGCCAACGACGATTTCGATCCCAATTCCGGGCTGTTGAAAGGGACGAGGATTATTGTCCCCGGCCAGGATGCCGACGACGGCAAGCGGGGCGGCTGTTGTGGCTAGTTAGTTCCTGACCAATTGATTTGTTGTTGGTTTCTTTTTTTTTTCTGGGTAGGGAATTAAGGATTACAATTTGTGACTTGATTATCAATTTCTTCAATCTTGAAGGAGCCGAATTAGAAAAGTGGCTAGTAATGAATTTGTCGATGTTCATACCCATTGATTACGTTACACACAAGTGGATTTTTAGATGATATTCATAGTAATTTTTTCCCCCGTACATTAGTGGTGAAATTTATGAAAAGTAAAGTGCAATGTGGTTTTCTTGAGATTTTCTAAGCAATTCTTTCGGCTTCGAAACCGTGTGACTTTCTCTCTTTGTTATGAATTCGAATCTCGAGCAGCAATTGCAAGCAGATTGAAAAGGGATGGCCAGTAGCTCAGGCAGTTTCTCCAGTAATTTGCGTTCTCATCATCCGACCCTGTACGTACATTGAAACAGGCTGCTCAAGTTTATGGAATTCCATTATTGGCTTCACCTTAGTTAGTTTTAGTTGATTTATAATTCATCTTGATCAACAAAAAATGAATGTTGTCTACTTGTGAAGTTTTGGGACGGGATACGGTCACTTCCCCTAATGGGGTTGTGAGATTCACAGCCAATGGCATTTTGGGTATGACAAAAAAATGAATTAATTAATTATTTTTTTGTATTAATTACAGATTGTGAATTAAAAACTCATATTAAATACATGCTTTTTTAAATTAAATCCTCCAATAAATATATTTATATCTTTCTCTTCCTATCTCTCTTTTCCTTATTCAGCAGCCAATCCACACCGACCGGCAGACTTTTTTCCGGTGAAATCCTTCTATCAGACTCGTTACGGCCATCTGCAAAAAAACCACTCCGTCAGTGTGCTAGTGGTACCGATTTTCGTCTAGTGGTACGCTACCAGTGGTAGTGGTACGCTACTAGTGGTAGTGGTACGGTACCACTGGTACCGTTATCACTAGTAGTGGTACGCTACCACTAGTACATTACCAGTTAAAATAAGTACCACTGGAGACTAACATAAAAAACCAAATCTGGAATCTGGAAAATCTCAGATCTGGCAAAACAAATCAAGGGATGGGGAAAGGAGAAGGCAGGGGAGAGGTCGTTACCTCGCGGCGGCGGTGGTAGTGGATGAGGGCGGCGGGAGAGGAGGACGGCGGGAGAGAGATGACATCGACAGAGGGAGGAGGGAGGCAAAGGACCTCATGGCGGTGGTGGTGGGAGGCGGAGGAAGGTGGAGACCAAGGGCGCGACAGGGAGTTGAGGGTTGTGGGAGGGCTGCAGAGGGGGCATCGGCGGCGGTGGTGGGAAGACGTCACCGATAAGAGGAGATGGTGATGGCGGCAGAAGATGAGAGGAGAGAAGAAGATGATGGATCTGTTAGGGTTAGAGGAAGAGAGAGGAGAGGAATATGTAGAGTTATTAGGGGAGAGAAATCTGATGTGGTTATTTTTTCGTCCAAAAATACCCCTGGATTAATTTCCTTCATCCATTCAAAAAAAGAAGGAGAGATAATGAATCTAATGGCTAGGAGGTGGGTAGCACATCTCACGGCCCTTAAAAGGGAAGTGACGGTATCTCACCCCTGAAGTTTTGCCTGTTTCTAATCATTCTAAGAATATGAGGTAGGTAATAAATCCTAAGTAATTTGAATAAACTTGTATATAATTTAGACATACGGGTCGAGATTGTAATTTAGTCAAACATGTCAGATATAACGAATCAAGTCGATATTGCTAATCCTACAAGTAATAATACCACCTAGGGGTGGGCAATGGTGGGTTTTGGTTTCAAATTGACTCACCCGCTTACTAGCGAGTTGAAATAATTGTGACCCGCAATCCACCCACATACTTCTGCGAATTGGGTTGGGTGGGTGGCGGATGGGTACAGATGGGTACGGTTGGGTCGTGGGTCAACCCGCAAAAACAATTCTCCAACTAGCCATTAAGAAAGTTGACTAGCATTTATAATAAGTTCATAGCAAATTAGTAAGATTGTATCAATAATTTATGATTTTGATACAATAATTAATTTATGCTTTGCATCCCAATATTTGATGGATATTAACAATAATTTGCATACCAATATCCAATATCTAATGGATATTGCACAAAACAATAACCAATAATAGTAGTCAAAACTATTCCTTTCTTCACCTTTTGAAGTATATGGTCAGACTGTAGTGCAGTTCAAAAATATGATGAATATTCGATACTATAAGACAACATTTTTCATGTACAAATCGGATGCTGGTCATACGGGTGACCCGCAATCCACCTACCACCCACCCACCCACATAAGTGCGGGTGAGACATTTATCAATCCGCAATCCACCCACATCAATCACCCACTATGTCTGGATCGGGTTATTTACGAGTGAATCGATATCAATTCGCGGATTACCCACCCATGTGTCCACCCCTAAATTACCACCGGACCAAACACTTGTTCGCGGGTCATGTTAGGGTTTCTAGTATATACAACCAAACTTACATAATTATTCCGACACTAATTAAGTAATGATGAGTCCCTTAATAACTTGTAGAGAAGAATAGCACTCAATTCATGAATCCTAAATCCCAGTTTGATTTGTAGGTGCAACAACCGAATAAAAGGCTGGAAGCTAAGGAAGCACACGAATAGTCAATTCTTCATACAACTCCGCAGTAGTCTTGAATGGCAGAATCGTAGTTTTTGGCCTCTCCTGATCGGATGAATTGAAGTAACCCAAAATGGTCAAACGCCCGGTAGCGAAAGGGCTTGCCGGATTCTTCTTCTTCTTCTACTGCGCCGTCGTCGTCATTACTACTATGATACCCTAACTCCGTCGGAATATGGACCACGCCGTTGATCACCGAGCTCAGCCCCACCGAGTATCTGGTCTCCTTCTCAGTCATGATTACTTGATGCCTGCAGCTTTTGATCCTCCCGTTACTCCATGCCTAAAAACACCAAACAAATTAACGGAATTAGCGTATGCAGTCCATAACTCATTTTTGCATAACCATGGGTAACATCAATAAATCGTTTAAGAGAGACATAATTTTTATGAATGATATCTATTCCGTTTTAAGTCGTAGTTAAAAAAAAAAACAAATAAATAAGATTAATTTTCTTATTCAAAATTACATCCACTTTGATATGTTTTTTGAATTTTTCTAGACAAATATTACTAGCCTATACCATAAAAATAATTGGTAATACATAAGATTATACCATGGTGGTATGAATATATCTTAGTGTAGAATGATAGTAGGAATATACTAATTATCATTCACCACTTAGTTTTTTTTTATAATGTCATTCACCACTATTAATCTCCCTTACCACCATTACCATGATGTGGGAAGAAGACGCAGCCCCAAAACGATGGATGGATCCACCGATTTCAGAATCCATGATCTAACCCTTGCATCCGATTGCATCCACTTGGTTACCTCTTGATCGGTGGAAGGAGGAACAAGTGGTTTCGTTGTAGTGCCTTCCAGAAACCCGAAGAACCCTTGTCCTTCGATGAACGTCCGAAATTGAAACTCCCATAAAGCGTAGTTCTTCGAGTTGAGACGTGCATTGATGCTGTCCGAGTCCATAGGCTCTGATACCATGTTGATCGTTGCGTAGAGAAAATCAAAAAGAACTTAGAACGAGAAGACACGGGATTTACGTGGTTTCCTTGTTCGATAGGGATCGAACAAGACTAGTCCACGGGAGGGTCGTAGCTTTCTTATTTCACTTAATCACCAACGTTTCCTGTACATTGCATATATATACACTCGGCATCACCATTAACCCTAGCCGATCCTATTTTGACCTAATGGGCCAAGCCCTTCAACATAACAAGGCTTTTGGCCTTTAGGCCGTATCATAATACTCAACACCCTCCCCCAAATTGATGGGGAGTTCTCATCATCAATTTGCTCGCCAAGAATGAATGTCGAGTAACCGTAAAGGCCTTGGTGAATAAATCTGCAAGTTGATCTTCGGAAGCAATGTAGAAGATACGAAGAGTACCATCACGAACCAGATCACGGACGTAGTGGATGTGTACCTCTATATGCTTCGTGCGATCGTGAAGAACTGGATTAGTAGCAATGCGGATGGCACTGGTGTTGTCAACGTAGAGTTCCATCGGGGTGACACACTTCACACCAAGATCGCCCAATAAACGATGCAACCACTCGAGTTCTGATGTCACATCAGACATGGCGCGATGCTCGGCTTCGGTGGAAGATTTAGAAACTCGGTCCTGCTTCTTACACCTCCAAGAAATAACCGAAGACCCAAGACGAATACACCACCCCGTAGTGGATCGCCGCGTATCAACGCAGCCAGCATAATCAGAATCGGAGAATGCCTGCAGAACAAGTGATCCCTGCGACGGAAGATGAAGACCCACATCTCTGGTACCCTGTAAATATCTCAATATCCGGTGAACAGCAGCTAGGTGGTCCGTACGTGGTGCAGACATGAACTGACTAACAATCTGTACAGCGTAGGCAATGTCTGGGCGAGTAGAAGCAAGATAAATGAGGCTGCCTACTATGCTGCGATACTGTTTCCCACCGTCCGGCAAAAGATCACCAGAGTCCCTCCCCAACTTCAGATTAAGCTCAATGGGCGTAGCAACTGGAGTACAGTCACCATGCCGAGTAGCTTCTAAGAGATCATCAATGTATTTTCGTTGACTAAGCAGAATGCCAGATGCAGATCGAGTTACCTCAAGACCCAGGTAGTACGAGAGCGAGCCAAGTTCCTTGAGGTTAAATGATTTATGTAGTCCCTCCGTGAGTGCAGTGATGCCCTCGGAATCATCACCTGTAACGATCATATCGTCTACATACAACAGCAGTACCACCAAGCCACGAGCTGTCTGACGAGTGAAGAGAGAGTGATCGTTGGAACTCTGAACGAACCCCAAACTCAGAATAGTAGACTGGAACTTGTCAAACCAGGCGCGGGGAGCCTGCTTCAACCCATAGAGAGATCGTTGAAGTAGACATACCGAATCCGGCGGACCTACGTCATAGCCCGGGGGACGTTCCATATAAACAGTCTCCTTGAGCTCCCCGTGCAAAAAGGCGTTCTTGACGTCGAGCTGAAACAACGGCCATCCACGGAGAGCCGCGACCGCAAGAAGAGTACGTACTGTCACCATCTTTGCCACCGGGGCAAAGGTTTCCTCAAAGTCCACCCCGTACTCCTGTGTAAAGCCCTGGGCGACAACCCGAGCCTTAAACCGCTCGATAGTCCCATCCGGATGAACCTTGATCGCGTACACCCACTTGCTGCCAATAACCGGGATCTCAGGTGGAGGACGTGGAACAACTACCCAAGTGTTTTGGGCATGAAGTGCCGAGATCTCCTCTGTCATTGCCCCGTCCCAATGAGGGTCGCCCTTGGCCTGCGAGTAGCGAGTAGGGACTTGGACCGGAGCAACCTGAAATGATACATAGTCCAGAAATCGAGCAGGAGGCTGGCCCAGAGTTGCGCGCGTGGAACGGCGGGGAGGAGCAGGAGGCGAAGCAGCCGGTGATGAGGAGGAAGCGTCGGATGATGCTGGGGACGAGGGGGCGGGAGACGAAGCATCCGAGTGGGGGCTTGGCGGTGGGTCCATGTCGTAGAAGTGATCACCATCATCATCGTCGTCTGGGAAGGAAGGAAGGGCCAAGGAAGTGTCAAAGATAGGAGTAGACTCAGACGGGGTGGAGTAGAACATGAGGTTCTCGAAAAACACTACATTACACGCTATACGGATACGACGAAGGGAAGGATCATAGCATAGATAGCCCTTATGAATGTCACTGTAACCTAGGAATGCACATTTCGCAGTCTTAGAAGTGAGCTTAGTGCGTTCATATTTAGGAAGGAGGACGAAGCACAGGCAACCAAAGACACGGAGACGAGAGTACGGAGGATGTTTAGAAAACAGCTTGAAGTACGGACTTTCCTGACCTAAGACCGGGGTAATCTGATAATTGATGAGGCGAACAGCAGTAGAGACTGTTTCAGGCCAGAAAGAAGAGGGTACCCGAGAGGCCAAGAGAAGTGCTCGAGTAACCTCCATCACATGACGGTTTTTTCCGTTCCACAAGGCCGTTTTGCTGCGAGACTCCAGGACAAGACTTTTGGGAGAGTATACCTAGGGAGCGATACAACTCGAGAAGGGGAGTAGAGCTGAATTCTCCTCCAGGATCAGACCGGACTACACGAACAGTTCTATCGAATTGGGTTTGAATCATTTTAAGAAACTCAGTAGCTATGGCTCTAAGATCAGATTTTTGACGCAAACAATAGACCCACGTATATCTGGTAGCATGATCAACAAAGAGGGCAAAATACTTATAACCATGACGAGAAGTAACAGGACTGGGACCCCACAAGTCTGTGTGAATCAAATGAAAAGGTTCACTAATGATGGTTTGACTCGAAGGGAAAGAAATTCGAGTAGTTTTCGCCTCCACACAGCTTGTGCAAGAAAAATCGGACAAATGAGGCACATTATTCCCAAATAACTGTTTCTTGAACATAGTACCTAACCGAGAAGAATTTGGATGTCCCAACCGGGCATGCCATAACTGAAAATTACGGTCACCGAGACTCGAAAAAACAGACCTAGACACCGAAGGACTTGAACGACACGAGACTGCAGACGATGACGAAGATGATGGAAGCTTGCCGAGTTGCTCCAAGTAGTAGATCCGCCCACTCTTGCTACCCCTGCCTATCTCCCGCCCCGTCTTCAGATCCTGAACAGAGCACCCAGACGGTGCAAAGACAACACGACAACCACTCTCAGTTAGTTGTCCAACAGAGATCAAACTTGGCACAAGTTTCGGAACATAGTACGTGTGAGGTAACTCCAAATTTTGTTCTCTAATTGTCCCCATTCCCGCAACCGGTATACGTGATCCATTTGCTACTTGTAATGAAACACCATTAACTGGAGATAATTGTGACAGGCTAGATATGCTATTCGTCATGTGATTAAAGCATGCCGAATCAAGAATCCAGCGAGGAGACTTACCGGAGACTTGCATACTAGCAAATGCCGAGGTGATGGCCTTATTGACGAGCTGCTCGAGATGCGCTGAAGTCACCATGATTCCTTCAGTTCCCGGAGCCGCCTCCGTGACATATGCCGGTCGAGAATCATGGCCAGCCGCTGCTGTTGGAGAACGCCACTGGCCTGCATGACGAGGAGCGCCCTGCGACGAGCTGCTGCTACCGCCGTTACCGCTGCCGTGAGCTGGACGCGGAGGTGCGACTGGACATTCAGGGACTATGTGACCTGTTTGCTTACAGTAGACGCAGAAGTTCCGGCGTCTACAGTACTTCTTGGTATGCCCTTTGGCATGACAGTGGAAGCACTCCACTTCACGGCGCGCCGTCGACGGAGACCTGTAGGCAGCAAAAGCAGAATCCCCAGCTTCAGAATTGTCGCCGCCCTTCCCAGCAGAATTCCCAGCTGCAAAAACCGAGGGTTCGCCATTACCAGGTCGCGCATCAATCCCGGCTTGAGTACGAAGCCGAGTTTCTTCTCGGATAAGTGCACTGAGGACTTGTTCCAATTGGAGACCCTCGCGATTAAGCAAGGTGGATCGCACAGCCTCATATTCCGGCTTCAACCGTGCCAAGAATTGAAGGGTGCGAGTTTTTGTTTTCTCCGCCCTTACCTCGGCTGACGCAGCGCCGGAGAGCAGTGCCGCCGAGAGGAGATCCTGCTCTGTCCATAAGAGTTTTGCCGCATTATAATAGGTAGCAATATCTTTGTCTCCCTGATACAGATTGCCCAGCTCCACCTCAATTTCGAACTGGCGAGCAACGCTCGTCGTAGCATACGTATCCCGTAACGCCGCCCACATCTCAGCTGATGTGGGAAGAAGACGCAGCCCCAAAACGATGGATGGATCCACCGATTTCAGAATCCATGATCTAACCCTTGCATCCGATTGCATCCACTTGGTTACCTCTTGATCGGTGGAAGGAGGAACAAGTGGTTTCGTTGTAGTGCCTTCCAGAAACCCGAAGAACCCTTGTCCTTCGATGAACGTCCGAAATTGAAACTCCCATAAAGCGTAGTTCTTCGAGTTGAGACGTGCATTGATGCTGTCCGAGTCCATAGGCTCTGATACCATGTTGATCGTTGCGTAGAGAAAATCAAAAAGAACTTAGAACGAGAAGACACGGGATTTACGTGGTTTCCTTGTTCGATAGGGATCGAACAAGACTAGTCCACGGGAGGGTCGTAGCTTTCTTATTTCACTTAATCACCAACGTTTCCTGTACATTGCATATATATACACTCGGCATCACCATTAACCCTAGCCGATCCTATTTTGACCTAATGGGCCAAGCCCTTCAACATAACAAGGCTTTTGGCCTTTAGGCCGTATCATAATACTCAACAGTATCGGTAGAAACGGAGCACGTAATTCGCGGCCTCAAGGTAATACTCGTAATGCCCACCGTCGACGCCGTAGCTCTCGCATATCATTCGCATCACCGTTTGATCTAGTTCCGCCGTCACCTTCGAGAACGAGATCGTGCTTTCGCTGGACCAAAATCGCACAGGATCAACAAGTTTTTTTCACGGAATCTAAAAAATGAGTGGTTTATAGTTCAAACCGTTAACTAAACGGAATCGAAAAAATTAGTGGTTTATAGTTCAAACCGTTAACTAATATAGAATTATAGGTTAATCGTTGATAGTAAATAAAATAAAATAAAGTTTTGACAATTTCAAAAGCCATCTCATCGATGATCAAAAGTTTTAACAAATAATTCAAACTATATTTCACAAAATAAATAAAAAAAGTTTCAATTCAAGATAGTAATTTCGGTGACCTGGAGCATATAAGGGGCAGACATGGACACGGAGAAACAAAGAAAAGAAAGTATAAATAAAATTAGCAATTCAAGCTAGATGATCTTAGTTTACGGGTTAAAACACTAAACCAGTGGATCAGCAGTCGAAGTGGGATTGGTTTCATCTAGTTTCATGTCATAATTTGTTAAAAATCATTCGGTTCATCCCTAACTGCCCAAGCAAACGAACCGATATCTCTAGCTATATATTGTAACTGCAGGTTTGGTGGTTCTAGTGATCCATCTCTGATGATCGGGTTCGATTCTTATTTACAATTAGAAAGTGACGATATTATTAAACAAAATTTACTATTGATGGATAGAGCTATTCTGAACTCTACCTATGGGGGGAAAAAAAGAATTTTAAATAATTTTCTCTATAATAATAATAATATAAAAATATGCGTAGTTACCAGAAGCTGAGGTTTCCGGCGGGCCACATGACGTCGGCGAAGCTCCGAGTGGCGAGAGAGCTGGTGGGATGGTCGACGGCGAGGGATTCGGTGAGCGGGAAGAGTGGGCTTTGCCCGAAGTAGTCGAAGTAAGGCTTGCTGCTGGTGTTCCTCTGCTTGGTCTCCGTCGGCAGGCTGAATAGTTCTCCAGCTGCGGCGAATATGTCGTTGTGGAGTAGTGTGCTGCTGGAAGAGTTGTCGCCGCCGCCGCCGCCGCCGCCGTAGAAGATGGCTTTGAAGCAGCCATGTTGTTCCATAGCCTTGCGGACGTCGTTGCAAGCGGAAACCCAAGTCGGGGTTCCGTGGATCAGATTTTTGCTGGACAAGTCAACCACAGGGATGGTTTCTGTTACCATCGCCCTTCTTTCTTTCTTACCTTTTTTTTTGTTGGTGTTGTTTTCGGTGCTAACAAATGTACAAACCACACTCTTGTTCGTATAACCATACATATTTCTTATATAACACCCCACATCACAATGTTATCAGAAATTTTCTCTATAAATATATCTCCACAAACACTGCTAGCATGCATAAATTATCCACTTTATTAAGTTTGTATTACCATAAAAACTAATAACATCGATAAATTATTCATATTATTCTGATTAGATTCAAATGATATCATTTTGCTTTTATGAATGTGAATTGAATGGAAAGAGAGTTCAACCCACCAATTTCATAAGTGGGCATAAATCACACCAAACCGAGAATTCATGAACACTGAATTTATCCACTTTAACCGAAATGGGTACGGCCTGTAACCATAATTCGGATACAATTTGGCAATTTGCGATCCCTACTTTGTGTCTTTGTATAATACGAATTTTTTCTTTTTTTTTTGCCATTAGATTCCTCCAAAGAAGAGGGAGTACAGAGATTATTGTTCAAGATAACCTATCTACTACGTAATCAAGCTACAAAAATCAAATCCCACCAAAAGACGAGGCGACAGAATTAGAGCTTGACTCGCTACCGAATAAGCAACTTTGTTGTTGGAACGACCTACAAAAGTCAAAGGTAACACAAAATTTTATGTTTGTATTAGTGGGCCGCAAAACCGTTAACAATGGGCCCAAATGTAAAAATGTGCTGCTTGGAAATCGAAGAAGAGCTCCGTCCATGGTCCATCCATCGTATTATTTTTATTTACTTATTTTACTCTATTCGTCGACGTCAATTCCGAGCTGGTCTTCCCTCATCGACTCAACTCCCTCCCTCTCTCCTCCCTCTCTCTCTCGCTTCTCCCCTTCCGAGTTTCTTCTGGTCGTCTCCACAGGTATGCTCTCGCACTCTCCGGCCGGTGGCCATATCCTTTTATGTCTTGGAAAACAAAGAATTCAGACTTCTCGTTGCTCCCATTGCTTCACTTCGTTCCAAATGATTGGATTCTTCTCTTGCAATTACGCGATCAATCCATCGAATTGATCGCATTTCCCACTCCTCACATGATGAACGCTTCGTACTAGGGTTTATGATTCACATGGGTGTTCTTTAGGGATTTTGCGTAGGATTGATGTCAACGCAGAGCGCCGGGAAAATTGAAAAATAGGATTCGGCTTGTTTTTTTTAGCTGTTTTGATGTTCATCTTCTTGGTTTGATAATCATGCGTCGAACTTAGCGGATTTTCGCGTCCATTTTGTTTTCTATGCAGGTTAGCAGGTTGATTGGTTGAGAAATTCAGTTGGTAATTGGTGGAGAGGTGCAAGGGAAGTTAATAAAGATGGGAGTGAAACAGGCCATTAAGAGCCTGGATGCCTTCCCTCGTGCAGAAGAACACTTGTTGCAGAAAACGCGTTCCGGAGCACTTGGTAAACGGACTGTTTCCAATCAAACATAAATGATTGCGGGTGCTCTGTGGTTAACTGTTTATACTCAAATCCTTTATCCAAAAAGTGTTCCCCATTTGAACTATTTGTTTATTAGTTAGTCTGAACTATGGATGATCTGCTATGGCCATATCATTCCTATTCAAATTGCGGTCTAAGATATGTTCATCTGTGCGGCTAGGGAATTAGTGAATGAACAAGCTAGTTTCTTTTCCCATGCGTGGCCCCCTTTTTTGTTCATTTTTCAGTTTGATTGAGAAGAAAAACAATGTTCTTATAGAAAACCTATGGCTTATGACCCTGCGGTAATATTTTTTTTTTTTTTTTTGCACTCCTATCTTCAGCAACGAACATCTTTCTGACTCAGATCCGGGATACTTTCTTATTTCCATTTGGTCTTTTGCAGTTTCTGTTATTGGTCTTGGGATAATGGCTACATTGTTTCTGCACGAGCTCACTTACTACCTCCACACGTATACCGTTCATCAGGTGAGTAGCATACATCTTTATCAGTTCACTGCCCTTTTCATTACATCCCACAGAAAGGTCCATTCTGCCCCAGGAAGTGAGAAACTAAATGCTTTGATGATGTAATAGGCTATAGGCTCTCTTAATCCTGGAAAAGTAATTTGAACTCCCTCTTAAGCTAGATCCAATTAGGATATAGTACATTGTGCTAGAAACTAAGCAATTCTTATACTCCAATGTATTAGGTTCGCTTAAATATTAAATGTAAATTCGTATCCTCATCTATGCTGTATTTTCATTCCTCATGCTAATGGATTCTTTGATTGTGTATTTCTGGCAGATGTCTGTTGACCTGACACGTGGACAAACTCTTCCAATTCATATAAATGTCACATTTCCTTCACTAGCTTGTGATGGTTAGTCATGCTGCTACTTTGTTCAGGAGTTTCCATCTTCTATCATGCGTCCTGTCGTTTTATACAAAGATTCAGTTATTATGGTTTCCTAATTAAGTTATTATTACCTTTTCCTCTTAGTCTTAAGTGTGGATGCGATTGACATGTCTGGCAAGCATGAAGTGGATCTTGATACAAACATATGGAAAGTAAGATCATATTCCTTTCTCTTGAAGAATATTTCAGATGCAAAGTTGTAATGTGCGTTTTTTTCCATAATAGAAAGTTGAAACGTTCATATTTTCTAAACCAAATTCAATGTCAATGAAACCGTTTGCTCTAGTCACTATACAAAGACATTATTGTTTGGAGAGCTGGAATGTAATTAGTAATTCTGAAGCATATCTTCATGTATTGTGGATGTTCCTAGTTTGGTGCTCTTCATATGAAATGACATTTGCTTCTTTGTATCAGAATTGTTTGTCTTCTCTGAAATTGTATGAAAAGCTTGAGTGAGTTGTTGGTTCTTGATTGAGAAATACTAAGCAAAAAGTACTACTGCTACCTTTTCCGGTGAAGGGCTGAAATGAGTGTTAAACAATCGACACGATGAAACTCAGACTTATCATGTTATGAAATTAGTGGCTTGAATCTTTGTATTGTTTCTTATGATTTCACCCTTCTCTAAATTGAAATTAATATGCTTTGGATGAGAAGAAACATTCGATCAGAAATTTGAATTTTTGTTATTATATAGGCATCCTGGATGTTCTCATTTGATAAATGACGAGGGTTGACTAATGTTTAGTAATTTATTTTTATAAATATTTAGGCCTGATTCACGAATTGGGACGTGGCATTAAGTCTCCCTTTTATGTTCTATCAACTATTTCTTATGGCATGGATTTCGAGTTTAAGCCATTGATACGAAGCCTGAACTTTTGCATCTGTTTCTTGCTTCTGAGTTTCTGGAATGCTTTGGTTGAATCACTTGCAGACAACCATATTAAATTATAATGAAAATGGACTTTTGCAGCTTCGACTGAACAGTCATGGCCAGATTATTGGTACTGAATATTTGTCGGACCTCGTAGAAAAGGAGCACTCTCACAATCATGGTAACATTCCTTCACAGAAATAAAACACCTTATCTGTTGAAGAACTGACATCCGAGCTGTATGGTAGTTCATACATAGTTTACAATATTGAACCTCAATAGAGGTTAGATTCTTCATTCTTGTCTCTACTTAGGTAGATGATAAAGATGCTATCATCCTTTTTGCAGCTTAGACATAGCATCAAAAGAGCGGTAGGGGCAAGTCACTGTCTCAGTGATAGCAGCATTACGTAAAGAAATTAGATCCTATCATTGCAATTGCTGCATAGTTTTCAAATATGACAATTTTGTCAACTCACATTATCATTCCGTGTATTTTAACGGGCGTATACACTATGCAAAGTTGGCATCTTTGAATTGAAATATTTCCTGTTCAAAGAAAAGCAAATTTAAATTGTTAGGTTAACTACCACCAATCTATTTGTGCAGATGATAAAGACCATAATCATGATCCTGAACAAAAACTTCACAGCCATGGCTTTGATGAAGATGCTGAAAATTTGATTAAGAAGGTGAAGCAAGCTTTGACAGATGGAGAAGGATGCCGGGTATTCCACTTTGGTGACTCATTTTTTTAATGCCCTGAAACGTACATACAAGAGTTTCTTATTTGTTGAATTTGACGTATCTGCAGGTATATGGTGTCTTAGATGTTCAACGTGTAGCCGGGAACTTCCACATCTCAGTTCATGGGTTGAACATTATGGTTGCACAAATGGTTAGTGTTTAATGTTTTTCTTTACATTATTCCTATCATTTAGCTGATATCTGGAAAAGTTCACCATGTCAACTGTTTGAACAAGTAACATACGTTTAACTTCCACCAAACTGTTGGATGTGAAGTTTTCTCCTGAATGCATAGCATTTTGTATCATGCAGATTTTTGAAGGAGCTAAGCATGTCAATGTCAGTCACATCATTCACGACCTATCGTTTGGGCCGAAATATCCTGGTATTCACAACCCTCTTGATGGGACGGTGAGGATTCTACATGAGTCGAGTGGAATATTCAAATACTATATCAAGGTTGGGGCTTTCTCTACTTATGAATCATTGCAGTTATGACCAGAGCCTTTTGAGCTTATTGGTTCTGTGAAAAAAGGAAGCTCGCGCAATGATGGAAAGAGTATTAGATCTAATGTTTAGGGCTTTAGGCGCTTCCATCGCTAATGACTAAAGCCTTTTGAGCTTATTGGTTCTGTGAAAATGAAGTTCAGATAGCACGAAAAGATGGGAATATTAGATTTATATCTAACGTTTAGGCCCTTCCATCACTATCTCTGCTATATAACCTGGAACTAAGAGATCCCTGTATTTATAAATAATTCCCTTCCCGTGTGGATTTATGTTTGCCTACTTTGTTCAGACCATCACCAACCTTTATGATTAATAATCAATCTGTTCTGCATACTACATATGTAGGAAGATTCTGAGCTTTTTCTATTGTGGTAGACCAGTATGTTCAGAGGAAAAGCTGCTTCAAGAGTTAGTTTACAGTTGAAACTGAACATCTCTCGGGCCTCAATTCATAGACAGTGTATATAGCTTGTTCTTATGTGCTTATCTAAGCTCCTTGTTCACCTGGACGCGTGCAATATGTCAGTGAATATCTCCTTGTCATTTTACCTGCTAGTTGACTTGTGTTCATTCTATTATATAATCACAATATAAGAGTTCGAATAGAGTTCAATATGTTCTTATGGAGGTTATTGAACTTGGGTGTAGTTTTGGATACACTCCTGAGGATGCTTTATTCGATACGAGAATGGCACAGTTGCAATCTAAGGACAAATGTCTGTCCGCGGACAGTCTTAATCTTGAAATTTCACTGCTCCTCCTAGTGATATTTCCTTAGTAGGAAATATAGATCCCTTAGTCTGTTATTCTGCCTTGCTGTTTTGTAATGAAAATTTATTGGTGTAACTTTTAGCAATTACAAGTTTTTACCCTTAAAATCTTGCAGATTGTTCCAACGGAGTACAGATACATATCTAAAGAAGTTTTACCAACTAATCAATTCTCAGTTACAGAGTACTTCTCACCAATGAACGACTTTGATAGATCATGGCCAGGTTCGTTGAATCACATGCAGTCTTATGAAGAAGGATAGAGGAGAGGAGTTGGAATGTGTTTTTTCCTGGTGATTTATTGAGACTAATATTTTGGTTGCAGCTGTTTACTTTCTGTATGATTTATCACCCATCACCGTGACTATCAAGGAAGAAAAGCGTAGCTTCCTCCATTTCATAACTCGCCTTTGTGCAGTTTTAGGCGGTACATTTGCAGTAACAGGTCTGTACTCTTTTTTGTCTCCCAAAATTACGCCTAGCTTGCATTTATATAGTTGTGGTGGTATGAATTTGAAAATTCAGAAAGAGTGATTAGTTTGCAAGTCTCTCACTGGATTTTTAGGCAACCAAACTCGGACGAATTTTGTGATAGTGCATTGTTGCGTAGAGGCATTCCACGTCTGCTTGCTCTTCGTATACCTTTTCTTCAGTTTGGTAGTCTAAGACTAAAAGCTTACCTCCGTAATTTCAGGAATGCTTGATAGGTGGATGTTCAGGATCATTGAAGCTGTGACAAAACCAAGCGCTAGCAGCATGCGATGATGAGAAGCTATGAATCACACAATCATATAGTCTCCTAATTCGCGGACATCCCTCTTCACGGGAGATTGAGCCATTGGCGACCGGGTTCAAAAATACAAGAGCTGATGGATGGATTTGGAAGGCTGGTAACCCCTTTCACATTCTGTTCCCTTCTTTGTTTGGCATTTGACTGGTGGTAGCATATTTGGTTCTGGTCGAATGGTTGCTACCTCTTTTTACATGCTGAATGTGAAATTGTAGCTCTTGGAAAGTAACTTTTTGATGTTGTAATAGAAACAGTCAGTACACTGACGCAGAATTTTGATTTGGTCGAACCGAAATGGACTATGTACTCTTTAAGCTCGACCTTGTGATACCGTAGCAACTGCCCATACCGGCTGAACCCATGTAGAAGATCAATTTGATACACGGTTTCGTTACCTCTTATTCTGGTTCTCTCGTGATTTTGCTGCAAGATCTTGAAACTCTTAGCCAATCGATTCTGCACTATGTCCGTTCTTCGATTTCTTTTCATTATGTAGCCAAAACAGTTCGTTTCGACATTATAGTTATCCTGTTTAATAGTTCAACAACATAGCCGTGATCACTGTACCGTCTAACCTAATTTCTATTCTTAATTCGATGGATCAGTCTGTCTGTATTAGATATAGAATCATATAACAGGAACTTGAAAGTTGGACATGTTTCATGATGATGATGATTTCATGCATCACCGAAGATGCTTCAGATGTGAATCCTTATTTTTGTGCTGTACAATGACAACAATTTACTAAGGGGCAATGTCTATTTTTTACCCAAACATTTTTCAGATTCTTTTATTTTAACCAAACCTATTGAATTCCTAAAAATTATCCAAACGTTAACTCTCCGTCAACTTTTCTGTTAGTAATGCTGACTAAGTATGACCATAATGAGTTGACTTCCTACGTGACGGTCATAATACCATCACTTACTATTTTTAATAAAAAGATTATCAAAAAACAAAACAAAATCTCACCCCTCACGTGGACGAAATAAGTAACGGTAACAGAATGAATGCCCAGACTTTGATAAATTATAATACGTTTGGATAATAAATAGAATTTCTATAGGTTTGGTTAAAATAAAAGAATCTGAAAAAGGTTTGGGTAAAAAATAGACATTGCCCTTTACTAAGCTACTAGCACATCTATTAATAAGTATGAGTACAACTTGATATTCTTATAATGCATTGATTTACTGCGCTAAATAATGCAGCACCCTTTTGACGAAAGTACAAAATATTGCAATATAATTACAGCCATACCCAGCCCAACTATGAATCACGTAAAATTGTGGAATATAATCGAAAAAAATACACGGTATACTATTAAACTATGAAAATTTGAGAACGGTGAAATTAGGGTAATGGTTGACAAGAAATTAATTTCTGGCATAATTCTTCATTTGGTTCATGAGCCTTTCTTCCTACCTTCTAGTGATACTGATTTTTTCGTTTCACAAACTTATTTCATGATACTCCACTAACTAGATTGCAAATGTTTTTCAGTTGTTGCCTCATACCTTATGATTCAACATCGGATGCATTTGCGTATCTCTCAGTACTTAATAGTTAGTTGTCGCCCTAATAGTTGAAAGTAACTAGTGAAATTTTTTAAGGGAAATATACCTACTTTCACCATAAAAAAGAATATAAGATTCATTGATAATTGTACCAGTTATTTAATACCCGAAGATTTTGCATCCAGCTTCATTTGTGCATCTCTTATTCATAGTGCTACTGCTTTATACGAGTCTCGTCTCTAATCTCAACTGCAACTTTCCAGAGTTAAAAAAATTTGACCGTAGTATACATTATTTACTAATTCATGTCAACACCGTTATTTGAATCAAGTTGGGATAGATCGAGTTACAAATGAATCATTCATTGTATTACAAGTTAGTCTCATCCACGAGCCGATCATAATGAGTTCGACCAGATTAAATTTGTAGCGCGCTCGCCGTTATGCAACCCCTATTTCCTAGTCATAATATTCTTTGTGTACTCTCATTTTAACTTTTACGATTGATAGAGTCAATCATTGAGTCAAATCATTGTACCCATTAATTAAAAAAAAAAGTCATCTTGAGCCAAAAAAAAACACACCATAATGACGGCAATTGTCCAAAGTGATTGACTTCGTTACATGATAATCCGGCGATGTGGGATCAAATTTTTTCCAAATGATTCCCACATTGAGGCTCTTGAGCCAAATCTATCATTCTCCAGTCACACGACAAATGCAAAATTGCAGAAAACCACCCTTGTCTCACCGCCGGCAGTACCCTCCTATATATTTGTGGAAAATTGCAGAAAACCATTCTGCATACTTCTTTAATTCTCACATCCATGGCTCCTTCTACTGAGAATTTCTTTCTGCTCATCGCGCCACTTCTTCTACTACTTCTAGCTTATACAAGCTTTCTTTTCATATCGGGGAAATCCCCGTCCCTCAAACGCCGCCGTATCAAACCCCCAACTCCTCCGCCGGGCCCACCGGCCCTGCCCATCATCGGCCACCTCCACCTCGTCGGCAAAGTCCTGCCCACATCTTTCCAGGCCCTGGCCCAAGCCCACGGCCCACTGCTCACCCTCCGCCTCGGGCTCTCCACCTGCGTCCTGGCCTCCAACGCGTCCACCGCACAGCAGATCTTCAAGGCCCACGAGCTCAACTTCTCGTCCAGGCCCGAGTTCGGCTCGGCCCAGTACTCCATCTACCGCGGGTCCAACTTCGCCATGGCCCCCTACGGCGACTACTGGCGCTTCATGAAGAAGCTGACCGTCACCCGGCTCCTCTCCCCCGCCCGGCTCCGCCTCCTCGCCGGCGTGGTCGACGATGAGAGGCTCCGGCTCCTCAGATCCGTCGCCGCCGGCGACGGGAAGGTATGCGATCTGGGGAGCGAGCTGACGGCGATGACGAACAACGTGATCTGTCGGATGGCGATGAGCACGAGGTGCTCCGGCGAGAGTGAGGAGGCGGAGAGGGTCAGACGGGTGGTGGCGGAGTGTTTGGATCTGGCCGGGAAATTGAGCTGCGGGGACGCGTTGGGCCCGTTTTTTTCGGTGCTGGATTTTTCGGGGAATGGGCCCAAGCTGTTTCGGGTGCTGACCGAGTTCGATGGGCTGGTGGAGAGGATTATAAAGGAACACGAGGAGACGGAAAGAAGAAGGGAGGATTTGTTGGACATTTTGTTGGAGATTTACAACGATCCGCTTGCTGAGATCAGGCTTTCCAAGACAGATATCAAGTCTTTCTTGCTCGTAAGTATATACCATAATCAACTATTTTCTTCAATCAATCGTAGAAGTGTTTTGATCATTTAGAAGCGTAAAACCGTGTTTTTAACTACATAAGTTATAAAAACGAAGATTTTGCGTAGAAGCGTTTTGGTGGCATAAAGTGTAAAAGCGTAAAGTTTTAAAATGCGATTTTGACTACATTGATTGCATGCATGCGCTTGCCAATTAATGCATGGAAGACGGTAAGTGCCCACCAATTAAATTAATTATTATTACTAGAGTGATGAAAGTACAGTAATATTGATGTGTTGAAAAAATATTAAAAATGGTATAGGATGAAGGTGAGTACTCCTACTCCTCCAACATTTATATTTAATCATGAAAAGCTGTTGTAATTTGTTAATTTCAGCACCTATTCACTGCAAGCCCTGGTTTCTTCATTGTAGAATTTGATGATTCGGAAGGTCCAAAACTAACACAGTTTCAGTAACCGCAACATTCATTGATGTTATATAGATTTAGAAAACTAATTCGTTTCGAAGAAGAGTGCTCTAGTTGTTTGAGATGTTTAAAATGCATCTTATATTATTTTACTTACGCAGTGAAAGGGGTCATAATGATTGAAACCGGGTAATCTCATGATCAATTAGACTTTGAATCACTACCAAAAAACTAGTTTATCTTGATAACTTTAGTGGATGAAAGATGGTAAAAATAAAACCTACATCATTCTCTTAAAATAAAACAGGCACTATACTTTGTCATAAACCAGTTGGCCCCAATAACTTGAGTTATTGGAAGAAGGTTATGCTGGATCTTATACCACTCTCTAACACACCCCTCTCAAACAAAAGCCAACCCATGAGCTTGAAGTTTGCACAGGCCCACCATACCTTTGTGCTTTAATCAACCGTTAATATTGGGAGTCGTGGAGATTCGAACACACGCGCGACCACTTGGACAAACCAGCTGATCCGATACCATGTCATAAATCAGTTGGCCCCAATAACTCGAGTTGTTAGGAAAATGTTATGCTGAATCTTATACCACTCTCTAACACGAGAGAGTTTTCATGCATAATTATCATACGTAAAATGATGGAAAGAAATCAACAAAAGTAAGCACTAATCACCATGATTTTTCATTGATGGTATCATCAGGACATATTCATCGCCGGGACAGACACAACATCAACAGCAATGCAATGGGCCATGGCAGAACTGATCAACCACCCAGCCGCATTCAAAACCCTCAGGGACGAAATCAACGCCGTCGTCGGTCGACCAAACCAGCTCATCAAAAGCTCCGACGTCCCAAACCTGCCTTTTCTCCGAGCCGTGATCCACGAGACCCTCCGCCTCCACCCTCCGGCGCCCTTAATCATCAGAGAATCCGCCGACGACTGCCAGGTCAACGGCTTCACCATCAAGCGCAAGACCCGAGTTTTAACCAATGTCTACGCCGTCATGAGGGATCCGCAATGCTGGAAGAACCCAGACGAGTTCATTCCGGAGAGATTCATGGAAGATTCCGGTGAGAAAATTGAGGGCGGGAATTTTGATTTTCGATACCTTCCTTTTGGGAGCGGGAGGAGAGGGTGCCCCGGCGAGTCGCTGGCGATGATGGTGATGCACGCGACCGTGGGAGCTCTGGTGCAGTGCTTTGATTGGGAGGTTGAGGGCGGGGAGAAGTTGGACATGAGTCTTGGTTCAGGGTTTGGGGGAGAAATGGCTCGACCTCTGTTGTGTTTTCCTGTCAAGCATGTCACCCCATTTTAACACATGATGCTATCTGTCAAGAATCAGTTGATCCTAATAACGCGAGTTATTGGGATCCTCAAAAAAGACATTCATAGGGTCCAAATCGTTGCATATTAGTCCTGGTAACATGCCACAACGTCACATGGTAGAAATAAACATAACAAGGATCAAGCAACTCATATGCTACCATTACCAAAGTTACGAGTCAAAAGAACTGTAAGGGGAGCTTATGTAACAACTTGCCTCATGCTTCCTTCACCAGTCAGTAGTATAGTTTAGCTTTTAAAACTTCATAGAACTCATCCTTTGCCACCTTAGTAACTGATTCCAAGAGATCCTAGCAAAAATGATCATGGTTTTTGGACCATATAAATTTGCATACACATACTACACGCGATCAATTCTAGAGAGGCAAGATTGGAGAATAAGTAGAGAGAAAATCAAACCCTCTTCAATATATAGCTACCTTCCCATTATTTTCTACAATTTCATTGGTAGCAATAGCAACATTTAAAGCTCTATACCTCCATTGGTCATGCACCTCAATAGTGAAGTACTATTGCATATTCCAAGTGGGCCACACCCCCACGAAACCAGTTGGACTTATGAGCCTTTTCTCTCTTTGGTTAGGGTGCATTTCATGGTTGTCACGCCGGCCGGCGTGCCACCGGTTCAACCTGCTTCAACCGCTACCAGTCATAAAATCGGCGTGACACCACCGGTATGACCGGCATGATTGATATGTGCCACCGGTCGAACCATTCCACTTGCTAAACCGGCACACTGGCATAAACCGGTTTGACAACCTTGGTGCATTTGCTCACCTCATATTTAATAGGACTAGCGGACGCTAGGAACCGACTGGCCGGTCTGAGAAGTTAATCGTAATTTCGTAACCAACTGACTGGTTCAAATTTCACCGATATTTAATTGTTCCCAGCCGAAATAGTAGCCGAATCTCGATTTATTAGCGGTCCAACCGCTCGATTCGGCTCGGTGTTAGCGTCACTTTCCTAAAACAGAATATTTTTTTTATGAAACCAAAGCATCTGATGTTCATTTCCATTTTCAAATGTTTTAGAGCAATTATAGACCCACGTACCGCCAAAACATACATTTGGAAAAACTGCAACTCTGCAAGTGATATATACGGTAGTTGATGGGCTGCTGTCACAATATAATAAATTGTAGGTAAAATACACTTCTATAGCCATAACTTTACACTTTGTGACAAATATAGCCACTTTTTGAAAAATACACAGATATAGCCACATTTTCGAAACTTGTTTGACAAATCTAGCCATTTTCGTTAAAAAGTTTAACGTCGTTAGTAACACTGTCAATTAAAACTGATGTGGACGCCACATGGACAACATGTCGTGCCACCTATATACCACGTCATATTAAAAAATTGAGAAAATATATTGGGAAAATAATATTTTTTTTATTATTTTAGTGTCTACCTGTACGCAACCTAAAGGCCTAATCAAAGAGGGGGGAAATTAAAAAAAAAAACATTATCCCCCTTGAATTCTCTGTGGAGACTTGGGTTCCTTCCTCCGCACCCCCTTAAACTTCTTCTCCCCGAAATATTCCATCTTCCACTGCATCTGATTTCCACCACCATCCTCCTACGTCGATGCCTTCCATTGATTCGTCGATGGCGATGGCAAGGAGGTTCTATCATCCTCCCTGGAAATAGATCTTCCTCTTAATCTCGTTTTTGATGCAGTCGTCCTCGATCGTCTGTGGCTTGGTCATGAGATGGAAGAAAAATTAGATCTGGAAAAGGAAAGCCACCACTGGGTAGCCTACGCTGCGGAGGTAGATAGACTATTCCAATCAGCAACTCTTCCTCTCTTCCCTAATTGAAAGCTCTGTACCAGCTTCAAAGCTAGGTGGTAATGGGCTCACGGGAAGGTAATCCAGATCTGCAACTACTGAAGAAAAATTGAAGAAATTGCCTCGAGTCCAACACTACATGGGGGATAGGGACGAACCCAGAAGCTACAACAGAGGAGAGGGTAAGACTGTGCGGACGGCGACAGTGACAAGCACCGACGAGGAAAAATAGACGCAGTTGCGATTCGTGGTTCCTCAGGGTTCGATTTTTGGGCTTCTCGTAGCCGATTTCAGATGAAAAATCCTCCGCGCTATGTGCTAGCTCCGAATTCTGACTTATGGAGTAGTTGCCGGTGCGACGGGGAAAACAACGGAGGTTGCTTTCTCGTTGCAGGGTCCCATCGATTGGTTTTGCAGGGTTCTCGTCGATTGGATTTGTTGGGTTCTCCAATCGTCGTCGATTGAGAGTCGTCGGCGATTTTGAGTTGAGGTGGAATGGAGGGGGGGGGGGGGGGTTTCTCGCCAAAGAGGATAAGCGAAGAATGGGAAGGGGCGGATGGTGAAGAGAAAAAAGAACAAACAATTTGGTAAAGTAGCTTTTTTTAATAAATATAATTAAATTTAAATTCCACCATGGCATGCCATGTAGATAAAAGCAGTCGCCGTCCCATATAACCGTTTGTCCAGTCAGCCGTCATTACAGTTCCGTTAAATTAATGGACAGAATGGCTATTTTTGTGTATTTTTCAAAACTTGGCTATATTTGTCACAAAGTGTAAAATTATGGCTATGAAAGTGTATTTTGCCTAAATTGTACCCTCTTATCTTATCATCTTAACCTACCACTTTTCTTGGTAATTAGTACGGCACCCTACGTCAATTCCCGTCTTAATAATATAAAAAAACCACCTTAATTCTTCAATCACTTGAAACAAATTTTCACTTCAAACTTCGCTTTATATATACGAGTAGCAACCCTTCTTCTTCTTCTTCTTCTTCTTCTTCCCACTCTCCAACTTAATCAAATTAACGTTGCACTAATCAAATCCGACATGCCGCCGTCCGATATCTTTCAAAGCTACGCCGATTCACCACCACTCCTCCTCCTTCTCATCATCATCGCCGTTTCGTCCGTCATCTTTCTACTAACCAATTTCGGCGCCGGCGGAGGAGGGAAGCTGCCGCCGAGCCCAAGATCCCTCCCACTCATCGGCCACATGCACCACCTGGGCCCAACCCTCCACCGCCACCTCCACACCCTCTCGGCCCAACACGGCCCGCTCGTCCACTTCCACATCGGCCCAAAGCCCTGCCTCCTCGCCTCCACACCGGACCTGGCCCACGAGATCCTCAAGACCAACGAGCCGGCCTTCCTCAACCGGCCCAAGGTGGCCAACCTCCACTACCTGACCTACGGCTCGGCCGACTTCGCCACGGCCCAGTACGGCCCGTACTGGAAGTTCATGAAGCACCTCCTCATGAACCGCCTCCTCGGCCCACAAACCCTCGACCGGTTCGCCCCGGTCCGACGCGACGAAACGATCCGGTTCCTGAACCGGACCCGGAACAGAGCCGAGGCAGGGGAAGAAGGAATGGACGTCGGAGCCGAGCTCACGAGGCTGACCAACAACGTGATCTCGAGGATGATGCTGCGGACGAGGTGCTCCGACGACGACGCGGAGGCCGACGAGGTGAGGCGGCTCGTGAGGGAGATGACGGAGCTTGGGAGGATGTTCAATGTGTCGGATACGTTTTGGGTCTTGAAGAATTGGGACTTGCAAGGGTTTGAGAAGAGGCTTGTGGATGCAAGAGGAAGGTACGATGTTCTGATGGAGAGGATCATGAAGGAGCACGAGGATTTGAGGAGGAAGAGGAAAATGAAGGATGGTGATTGTGGCGGCTTGGAGGATTGTAAGGATGTGCTTGACATTTTGCTGGATATATATGAAGATGAGGAAGCGGAGATGAAATTGACGAGGGAGAACATCAAAGCTTTCATCATGGTGAGAAAGTCCCCTTTTCCTTTGTTGATTTTGTAATTTCAGTACTTGGATCCGAAGTATTTGAGCAGGATAACCAAATCAATGGGTTGATTAGATAATCATGAACCAGAAATTGTGAGGTTTTCATTTTTAGCAATAGATTTCTAAAAAAAAAATATATTAGGAATCGTTTGTCATATATAGAGGAGACTAGAAACTAATTGGACCTCAATGAACGATGACATATGTAGCAAATTTGACTTTTGATGTTTAACTAGGGATAGGGATGACCAAAAAACACCAATATTAGGTTATTGTCCAAATCAATTTTAGTATGAGTCAAATCAGGTTTGAGTAATTTTGTAGTTTTTTTAGCATATCCATAACTAACTTTTTAGTTTGAGTTTAAATTGAACCAATATTACTGAGCACTTTAAAGAAAATGAACACTAGATTCTAATGCAACTTTTGTCTTTTTTTTTGTTGTTGTTGTGAAACAAACATATAGGTGGAAATCCAACATTAAATGTATAATTGGATTGAAGCAGCTAATGAGATGGTCGATATTATCATTCTATGTATACAATCATTAGGATCCAAATAGATTCATTTGGGTCAGACCCAAATGAGTTGACTCAAATTGGATCGAATTCAAACCCAACTCAAACAAAATATCATTAGAAATCCATATAAATTCATTTGGATCCCACCCAATCCTCCGTACGAGTCATGATAATTGTGTCAAATTACCCAACGAGTCAACCAATTGACATTCCTATGTTTAACTACTTCTAGAGTTTTCAAATGAAAAGTGTAGTCAGCTCGATATTTCTTAGTATATTTTCAAGAGTTACGATTTTACTATGTGCAGAACATATTTGGAGCTGGAACAGACACATCATCGATTCTCATCGAGTGGGGGCTCTCGGAGCTCATAAATCATCCAGACGTGACGAAAAAGGCAAGGCAGGAGATGGAACTAGTTGTAGGAAATGACAGGTTGGTCCAAGAATCAGACATCCCAAACCTTCCCTACCTCCAAGCCATCCTAAAAGAGCTCCTCCGTCTCCACCCAACCGGTCCCTTGATCGTCCGAGAATCATCCCAAGAATGCACGATCGCCGGCTACAAAATCCCGGCGAAGACGAGGCTGTTCGTCAACATCTGGTCCCTGGGGAGAGATCCAAGCCATTGGAAGGATCCCGAGGAGTTCAGCCCGGAGAGATTCATGGGAACAGAGTGGAGCGGGAAGAAGAAGAATAACATGTTGGATGTGAGGGGGCAACATTTTCATCTGTTGCCCTTTGGCAGCGGAAGGAGGAGCTGCCCCGGTGCGTCGTTGGCCCTGCGGTTCGTGCCGGCGACTCTGGCGGCGATGATTCAGTGCTTTGATTGGACGGCGGTTGGCGATGGTGGTGGTGGAGGCAGAGTGGACATGGAAGAGGGTGGAGCTGGGCTCACGCTTTCTAGGGCTCGTCCTTTGGTTTGTGTCCCAATTGCTAGGCGAGGTGTCGGCGACCTTTTATCTATGATGTAACAAAAAAATGTGTGCTTTAGTGAATTGGGTAAGGGTACTACTAGTGAGATACACATCAATAAAATACTACCTTTAAGTGATCATCGAATTTTGGGAAAGGATATGGTACAAACCATTTTCTATAAAATCTTACGGAACTCTGTGTCATACCACCATGGTATACGATCATATCATGGGTGATACGATTTATATAAGGAGTGGTAACACTAACACATGCATTTTATTTTTGTAGATTTTGTAATTCTGAGTTTTGTGTCGTAACTCAAACTTAAATTTGTGGTCATAATAAGCTTTCAGAAACATAACAACACATATTTTTTTCTTCTGAAATTTATATATTTTTGCAACTAAAAAAAGTTGGAGTTTGCTACAGTGACTTGCAACAAACCGGGCGACCGATAAGTGTATGTGGTAGACTGAATTCAATGTTGTCTGTTTTGCTACGTTCAACAAGCGATCGACCACTTCTACAAACTGGTCGACCTCGCGTAAGTTTTTTTATTTATTCCCTCTTGATTGTGATTATTGCTTAACTTGCTTTTGTATATTGATATAAGATTTTAAGTCCAATTTTGCGGGATGGATAATGAAGAAACAAACATGACAACAAATCGAATTGATAGAAAATGAAGAAAATGTTTCTCGTAACTCGTAAGTATAGAGATGGATACAAAGTTACAAACCAAATGAAGTAAATGTTTCTCGTAAGTATCGAGATGGCAACTAATTGAATTGAGATGGACAATGCACATACATTACCCTGCAATATAGTTAGGTTTTGGTTCATATTCATATCAACAACAATAATCGGGTATAATATAAAAATCATAGCCATACTCAATCGAATTTCGAGTATCTACAATTATCCATGTGTAATAATGGTTCTTTATAACTTCAACCAACATGTTAACAATTACACGTCTACTAACATTACATAAATGAAAAGATATAACAATAAATTACTATAACGAAATAAATTAGTTAAATATAACATAATTTCATAAAAAATATTATATATGTATAATTAATATCATATATGTTGAGAAACATAATGCTCATTTTAAATAAAATACATATGCATGTATACAATCGATCATGTTCAAATTGGATAGCGGGAAAAAAATATCAGTTTATTACCCGTAATTTTCGGACTCGAGATCTACCCCTACCCATTAATGATCAGATCAGCCGATTTTGAATTTACCATTTCCGACTGTTAATCGAAACGGAGAAACGAAACGAAGAGCTAGATCGAAACGGAACAAGACACAGAATTTAACGTGGTTTCCTTGCTCGGTGTGAGCAAGACTAGTCCACGGCGGGAAGAGGAGTCTCGTATTATTGTGCACAACAATTACATGCATAAACATCAATATATACTCGGCTGCCCTAACCCTACTAGGCCGAGAAACCCTATGCTACGTATGGGCCTGGACACACGTGCATGGGCTAAAACCCATAACTCAACAGCCTCCCCCAAATTGAGGAAGATTTCTCATCATCAATTTGCCAGCAAGATATGAATGACGACCGGCTGTAAACGCTTTAGTCAACAAGTCTGCAATCTGATCCTCTGACGTAACATAGGAGAGTCGAACTGTTCCAGCACTAACCAAGTCACGAATATAGTGCAGATGAACCTCGATATGCTTCGTCCGATCATGGAGCACCGGATTAGTAGCGATCTGAATCGCGCTAGTGTTATCAACATAAATCTTCATAGGAGGCAAACAGTTGACACCCAATTCACCAAGTAGTCGTTGTAACCATTCTAGCTCTGATGTGACATCTGACATAGCTCGATACTCAGCCTCTGTAGAGGACTTGGAGACCATATCCTGCTTCTTACACCGCCAGGAGATAAATGAATCACCGAGACGAATACACCAGGCTGTAGTAGAACGTCGAGTATCCACACACCCAGCATAATCGGCATCAGAGAAAGCCTCAAGTTGAAAACTTCCAGTCGATGGCAAGAATAAGCCAATCTCCTTTGTCCCCTGCAGATAACGAAGTAGTCTGTGTACTGCATCAAGATGAGCAGTCCGTGGAGCCGACATAAATTGGCTGACAATCTGTAATGCATACGCAATATCTGGACGAGTAGAAGTCAAATATATCAAAGATCCCACAATACTGCGATACTGCCTCCCCCCGTCAGGTAACAAGTCACCAGAGTCACGTCCCAACTTCAGATTAGTCTCCATGGGAGTGGAAACCGGTGTACAATCACTATATTTAGCCGAGTCAAGAAGATCAAGAATGTACCGGCGCTGATTAAGTAGAATGCCTCCCCGAACCCGTTGAACCTCCAGACCAAGAAAGTACGATAACTCACCGAGCTCCTTAAGATTAAACGAGCTGCGAAGACCACTAGTCAGAGCCTCAATACCGTCCGGATCATCACCAGTAACAATCATATCATCGACGTACAGGAGCAAGACAACCAAACCACGAGAGGTACGACGAGTGAACAGAGATGGATCATTAAGACTCTGCTGAAAACCAAGCTCAAGAACTGTATGCTGAAACTTCTCAAACCAGGCCCGCGGAGCCTGTTTGAGACCATACAAGGAGCGACGAAGCAGACAAACCTTATCAGGCGAACCCAAAGCATAACCCGGGGGACATTCCATGTATACTGTCTCCTGCAGATCACCATGCAAGAATGCGTTCTTCACGTCCAGCTGGTAGAGGGGCCAATTACGAAGAGAAGCTACTGCCAACAAGGAGCGAACAGTAACCATCTTTGCAACTGGAGCAAACGTCTCAGTAAAATCAATACCATACTCTTGCGTGAAGCCCTGGGCAACCACGCGAGCTTTAGAACGATCAAGAGTGCCATCCGGGTTAATCTTGAGGGTATACACCCACCTACTGCCGACGACAGGGATCTCAGGCGGAGGTCGGGGAACAACGTCCCACGTATGATTGGCATGGAGGGCATCGATCTCGTCATCCATAGCCCGATCCCTCAACGGATTACCCTGTGCCTGCGAGAAACGAGTCGGGATAGGAATAGACTCAACACCATAAGTAACAAAGTCATTATACCGAACAGGGAGCTGCCCAAGGTTAGAACGGAGCGATCGACGTGGCAGGACAGGGGCCTCCAGAGGAGACGCAGCTGGAGAAGAGTCCGTGGACGAAGACGCGGACGAGGCACCGGACGACGTGGAGCCTGGGGAAGTGGGAGGAGAGTCGGGGGGTAGCATATCATGATGATGATCATCATCATCATCGGGAAAAGACGGAGGACCAAGGGACGTAGCAAAAAGTGGTGGAGAGGTGGACGATGGGCTAGAATAGTACATCAAGTTCTCAAAAAAAAAACAACGTTACAAGAAATACGAAGACGCTGGGTGGAGGGTTCATAACACAAATATCCCTTGTGGATATCACTATAGCCAAGAAACACACAACGGGAGGTTTTAGACATAAGTTTAGTGCGCTCGGAACGGGGACGAAGAACAAAACAGGTACAACCAAACACACGAAGACGAGAGTAAGGTGGATGTTTATCAAAGAGTTTATGGTATGGACTAGACTGACCAAGGACAGGAGTGATCTGGTAGTTGATTAAACGGACAGCGGTAGACACAGTTTCAGGCCAGAAGGAGGACAGAACATGGGAGGCTAACAGAAGAGCACGAGTAATCTCCATGACATGCCTATTCTTTCGTTCAACTAGACCATTTTGCTGAGAGGTACCGGGACAAGCCTTTTGAGAAAGAATACCACGAGACCGATAGAGCTGAAGAAGGGGATGAGAACTAAATTCACCACCCTCATCAGCACGAATAACACGAATGGTTTTAGAGAACTGGGTCTGGATCATGTTAATAAAATCAGTGGTAACAGCAAGAAGGTCAGACTTGAGACGAAGAAAATATACCCAAGTATATCGAGTGGCATGGTCGACAAAAAGTGCAAAGTACTTATAGCCATGGCGAGAGGTCACGGGGCTAGGACCCCAGAGATCAGTGTGAATAATGTGAAAGGGTTCAACGATAACAGTTTGGCTAGAAGGAAATGAGGAGCGAGTAGCTTTAGCCTCAACACAGCAAGTACAAGAAAAATCCGAAGAATCACCAATCACATTATCACCAAATAACCGCTGTTTAAACATAGTTGCAAGCCGACCAGAGTTGGGATGACCCAAACGAGAGTGCCACAAATGAAAATTCTTATCACGAGTACTAGAAAACACAGGCAAACAGGAAGACAATCTAGACACCGAAGGAACTAACGATGATGATGATGTGACAGGAGGCGGCGCAAGCTGCTCCAAATGAAAAATGCGCCCGTGCTTGCTACCCCGACCGATCTCCTTCCCTGTCGTCAGATCCTGCACAGAACAACCAGATGGTGCAAAAACAACCCGGCAGTTTTGATCAGTGAGCTGGCCAACCGAAACAAGGTTGGGAACAAGAGCAGGCACATGAAACGTAGAGGGAAGGGTAATGGCAGGTTGAGAAACCGTGCCCTCACTCTCAACAGCTAACTTATTGCCATTAGCAACCTGTAATCGTATACCCTGAACTGGACGAACATTCCCCAAAGTAGACAAACGTCCAGTCATATGGTTAAAACAAGCAGAGTCGAGAATCCACGGAAGAGGCTTACCGAAAACCTGCAGACTGGCGAAGGCGGAGGCAACCGCCTTGCTTACAAGTTGCTCCAATGCATCAGGAGTCACAACAGTACCGCCCACCGACTCGGCAGGCTGTGTAGCAAATGCTGGTCGATCTTGAGAATGGCCACCGGAAGAGCTGCTAGCGTCCCGCACGCGAACCTGCAGAGATGGGCAATCAGGGATAATGTGGCCGGCCTTTTTACAGTACACACACCAATTTCTCTTCCGGCAGAACTTCTGGGTGTGGCCTTTGAGGTGACAGTGATGACATTCAACGTCCGAGCGACGCTGAAATTGAGGACGGAGGGCTGCAAAGGCGGAGTCGTCCGTCTCATCGTTCGGAACAGCAGGAGCAGGAGCAGGGACGGTTTGGCCTTCACGAACAGCAGCTGGACCTGAACGCCCTGCACGAGGAGTGGAAACGGAACGGGAAGTGCGGCTGCCGCCAACTGCGAAGATGCTGGCATCTCCCTGACCGGGCTTGACATCCAGAACTGATTGCGTACGGAGGCGGGTTTCCTCCTGCAGCAGGGCGCCGAGAACCCCTTCCATCTTGAGTGAGTCGCGGTGAATCAACGTGGCGCGAAGCGCCTCATACTCCGGACGAAGCCGCGCAAGAAAGTGCAGCAGGCGAATGCGATTCTTCTCAGCGCGGGCTTCTTTAGAAACGCCCGAAGGCATCAACGCAGCAGAGACCAAGTCCTGCTCGGTCCAGAGCTGCCTCGCCTCATTGTAATAGGAGGCGATATCCCGATCGCCTTGCTGAAGCTGAGAGAGTGCGATCTCGAGATCAAATTGACGAGCCACGCTCGTCGTTCCATACGTTTCAGCCAAATTCCTCCACATATCAGCCGCCGTCGGGAGGGTACGTAAACCCAGCACGATCGACGTCTCAACAGAGTTCAAAAGAGCAGTCTTGACGCGCGCATCGTTTTGCTGCCATTGAAGCAAAGCTTGCGCGGTAGCAGGCGGAACAATAGGTCTGGGCGACGATCCATCGATCATGGAGAGAAGCCCTTTCCCTTCGATATAGATACGGAACTGGAACTCCCAAAGCGCATAATTCTTCGAGGTCAAACGAGCAGAGATACGATCTGAATCCATTGCAGATAGCTCTGATACCATGTTAATCGAAACGGAGAAACGAAACGAAGAGCTAGATCGAAACGGAACAAGACACAGAATTTAACGTGGTTTCCTTGCTCGGTGTGAGCAAGACTAGTCCACGGCGGGAAGAGGAGTCTCGTATTATTGTGCACAACAATTACATGCATAAACATCAATATATACTCGGCTGCCCTAACCCTACTAGGCCGAGAAACCCTATGCTACGTATGGGCCTGGACACACGTGCATGGGCTAAAACCCATAACTCAACACCGACTAGGTCATACTTTATTTTTGCAATAATTGTTTTTCTGGTATATAGTAATTTGAATAAGAGGCAAAATTCTGAGGCATGACTCTGTTCGACAACTCAAAATGAGAGACTGAAAATGCAATTATATTTGAAAAATAAGATTTTGATTTACGGTTTACCAAGAAAGGAGAAGGTCAGAGGCTGTTAGCTTTAGGTAGGAATGGCAATGGGGCAGGTCCGGAGCGGGTTTTTTGGTACCCAGATCCGCTCCGTGGCAGGTCGGGTAATTGATCATGGGTCGCGGGTCGAGGCAGGTCGACCCAATGGGTATGCAATTTATATGAAAACATTAGAAATATTCGTTATTTTTATTATAAGACTCAGAAAACAAACAATATTATGACAATTGTAGTTAAATTATTGGAGAAATTGAGATTTTTACTAATTTACAACTTTATTATAACTAAAATATGATGCAATAAAAGGAAAATTATAAGTAATTTGACTAAAATTACATGACAAGAACGGGTCGAGAATGGGGACGGGTCAGGGCAGATCGGGTCGATAAGACTACTCATGCCCGTCCCGCCCCAAAACAGGTCAAAAAGGGTCGGGTAAAACAGGTGAGATCGAAATTGCCATCCCTAGCTTTATGTTTCAATTTTACACTCGGAAAAGAAGAAAGACGCCGTTTCTGATGTGTCACCCTTGGTGGATAAGGTTCCGGGGAGCCGCTTTCCCCGTTTCCTCAATGGCGCTGTCTTGGTCTTGGGCCCCTAGTTTCCTTTGATCTTAGAAAAAGCGGTTTTCCGTTTCAACTCGGTACAGCTTGGACTTGGCGGAAAAGAAAAGATTCTTCTCAGGGCAATCAATCTCCTCACCCAGATACAGAGCAGAGCAAATACAATGCCGGGGTATTTTTAAATAATTCCAGCTCCCTCCCAACTAATTATCATCTTTCTCCAGCCTTTTTTCGGATTGGAATATTCGATTGTTCGACGGTTTCTTCGATTATTTCTCTCGAGCTCCCGCATTCGTCGAGTAGGTCTCGGTGTTATTCGTCGAGGATTGTAACTCAATTGATCGCTTGGCAGATGTCTGTTGGTATGTTGGTAGCTATCCTCGAAAATTTTGAGCAGGAGAAGATGGATTCAGCAGCAGTTCTTTTCTGAATGTTGAATTGTTGTTGAACAATTCCTGTTAGCGCATAGCCCCCCTTAGGTTTCGATCAAATTCTCTTTGTTGGGGATTTCTGGGTTTTCCATAAAGTGCCGAGCTTTCGTGTGATTGCTTGCAGCTTGCCTTGATTGGGGTTGTGTGAGTTAGGTCTGGTTGGTGGTTTATCGGTGTCATCACACAGAAGGAAGGGATGGTAAGTGTTAATCTGGGGATGCTCCATTATGTGCTAGACCACATTTATGGAGCGGTGATGCACAGGAGCCGGCTGGGCACCCCATTCTTCTCGAAAGGATGGGGTGGCACGCAACTTGCTCTCTTGGAGAGAATGGTTCATGATTTGTTCCCTGAACTGGAGGCCCGAGCCCAGCCTCCGAGTATGATTCAGCCGATTTGGAGAACGATTTGGGAGAGCAGAACTGCTTGTTTAAGGGAAGGCGTCTTCAAAACGCCTTGTGATGAGCAGCTCATTAGTGCATTGCCCCCAGAAAGTCACACTGCAAGAGTCGCCTTTCTTGCTCCGAAACTGGGGGATCCACAAAGGATGGCTTGTGTGGTTCATCTTGCTGGTAAGGGAGTGTAATCTTTGTCTGTGAAGGGAAGAAGTTATATTTGGGGATAGTTCAGGAACATGTTAGATGCAGAAGCTAGATGTTGCTTGTGGAGTTTGTTATTCTGTTCCTGTGCCTAGTTGATGTGTAAATTCTCATGCTTAGGAAACATATGGATAAAATATGTGCCTGATGTTGCCCGATTCTCTAAAGCAGGTCTCAATAAGGTTTAAATGAATTTGTCAGAAGAATTGCAAATTACTAGATTTGAACCAATGCGTACATGATGTTTCTGATTGTCAACTTAGATGTTAATAATTCTAAGTTTGTGGCAGTTCTGTGCCTATTCTATACTGATGCATAAATTCAAACATTAAGGATTTAGCAGTCATAATTATACCAAGAACAGTTCCCTATATGCCTGCATTGCACGTCTCTGAAGTAGGATTCAACTGATTCTCCAATATGAGTATTGAGTACGTGATGACTGTTAAATCTTGCAATTGTCAAAACGCTATTGGTTTTTTCTCTGGTTCAAGAAGACATTTGCTAGAGCTTTGATGTGGTGGTGATCTTGCAAGTTACTTTGTGCTTGCTGCAATTATATTATTTTCTGTACTACAGAAAATGCCATTGTAATAGAGAATTACAGTATTTTAATCAATCTCTTCAGGCACTGGAGATCACACCTACGAGCGCCGTTTGCGCCTTGCCGGACCATTGCTGAAGGAGAACATTGCCACAATGGTATTGGAAAGGTTAGAGATTGTATTTTGAGTACTTCTTGAGGTGAAAAGTTACAAGAGTCCTTATCATCTTGTTTTCATGTAACGAAAACCATACGAATCAAATATTGCATTTTCAGCCCTTTTTATGGACAAAGGCGGCCAATGATGCAGCAGGGTGCCAAACTCTTGTGTGTTAGTGACTTGCTTCTATTGGGTAGGGCAACGATTGAGGAGGCACGAAGTCTCTTATACTGGTTAGACTCTGAAGCAGGTTTTGGCAAGTTGGGTATTTGCGGGCTTAGCATGGGTAAGAAACCATTGATTTTAGTGTGTAGTTTACCTTTAGCACAACCACTGAAACCTCCATTTTTATCTGTTTTAGTTTCATGCTTAAAAGATCAATTTCTATTGAATCTTAGGTGGTGTTCATGCTGCGATGGTGGGATCATTGCACCCAACACCTGTTGCAACTCTGCCTTTCCTTTCTCCGCACTCTGCTGTTGTGGCTTTCTGCGAGGGCATACTACAACATGGCACTGCTTGGGAGGCACTGAGAGAGGATCTAGCTGCACAAAAGGTTGCAATGACTCTTGAGGAAGTGAGAGAAAGGATGCGCAATGTGCTTTCTCTCACTGATGTCACGCGCTTTCCAATCCCCAAAAATCCCAAGGCAGTCATTTTTGTTGCTGCAACTGTAAGTAACTAAGCTAAAAAACTGAATTGTGTATTTGGCATATTCTGAATCCTGTTTTGTTCAATATAATTCTGGTGACTCTTAGGAATTGGCATCTTTGAATCCTTGATCTATCACATTTGTTGCAGTCCTCCCTTAAAACAAGCGCAAAATTATTTTCATGGCAGATTTGTGATCATCTGCTGATCCCTTCGTGAATACTGGTGTTCGTACTTTTGATTCTAGCGATGCTGATTTCTTTGTGGCAATTACTTCTTGGGTTTTTTTCACTGTCCTCTGAGTAACCGTGTTCGTTATCTGCTTGCCTTTAGGATGATGGCTATATTCCAAACTATTCAGTTGTGGAGCTTCAAAAAGCTTGGCCCGGGTCAGAGTTGAGATGGGTGAAGGGCGGTCACGTTTCATCGTTCCTTCTTCACAACAGCGAGTTCCGAAGAGCGATTAAAGACGGTCTAGACAGATTAGAGTGGAAAGAATCCGCATTGTGACATGACTAACATCGAAGAAGTTAACAACTTTATCTGTCCCTCCTTGACCTGCACATAGATACCCTCTGAAGATTGCAGTTTAAGTGATAATGCTCAGTGTCTTGTGACTGTTACTTGATTCATTGTTGTACAACCTTTTCATTTCAAAGGAATACAGAAACTGGGTTGTATCCCACTGTTGATCTAAGAACAATTGTCTGTGTTGACTGGATATTTGTTCTTGTTGAGTTTCAAGTTGAGATGTGCGATTCTGATCATTTGCCAAAGCTAAAATTTTCTTTCAGCTCACAAACCAGGTCTTAAAGTTAAACACAAGAAACTGTTGACCATTTCATCCAGGCACCTCAACAAAAGCCGAAGCAACAGAACAGACCCTTAGGAAGAACCAAAGCCAAGAAACTAGCGGGCTAATTTCAAGTCCACGCACTAGCGGGCTAGGCCTCAGGCCGAGACGATAGCCCGGAGCCCATAAACTAATAATAAGGCCCATAAAAATATCGCCAGGGTTTTACGATGAAATAAATAGCTGGCTAGGGTTTCCACGCTATAAAATTTTCAGCATCGAGAATTAGGAGAGTGTTGTTGAGGCGGCAGTGGAACTCGCTAAGGTAAGCGACTGCCGATGGTTGCTCTGTGTTCAACCAAAATCGCACGAAGCCGCAGTTCTTTCATCTTTGAGATCTGAATCAAGCGTTTTCTGTTTGCAGCTTGATCGATAGAGAAAGGACTCGCAGGAGCTAATCACCAAGAGCCAGGAAAAAAAAAATGTCAGGGTATGTATAATGATTCCGCTCTAGAACCTGCTTTGATCTTTCCTCTGTTTCTCGTTTCCGATTCGTTCATTTTCGATGGGTTGTGCAATTTTCTTCGATGTCTGCGTTTTCGCCGCAGCTGATTCATATTGGGTTTGGTACCTGAGCGAGAATTGTTTCCCGTACATCTATTTCATACTGTTTTTGGTGAAGATAGAGAAGTCTTAGCCTCTCAGTTTTAAGGGTTGTTCAATTCTTTTGTGGGATAGTGATGCCTATCTGTCGTCTGATTTACCGAGTTTGGTGGTGATTTTGCAGAGAAGAAGTTGCAGTCGAACAGCCTGAGGCTGTTGCAGCCCCTGTTGCCCCTGCTGTGGGCGAGCCTATGGATTTGATGTCAGGCTTGCAGCTGGTGCTGAAGAAGTCTCTTGCACATGGTGGTCTTTCAAGGGGACTTCATGAGGCTGCCAAAGTGATTGAGAAGCACGCCGCTCAGCTTTGCGTGTTGGCCGAGGACTGCAACCAAGCTGACTATGTCAAGTTGGTGAAGGCTCTCTGCGCTGACCACAACGTTAACTTGGTGACTGTGCCTAGTGCCAAGACCCTTGGCGAATGGGCCGGGGTAAGTGTCTCATCTCAGTCTTGGTTCCTGTCGTCTTTTCCCGCTTGTTAAGTGAATTCATGTGGCAATCTAGTTGTTAATCGTGGCATCAAGAATTAGGTTCTATTTCTAAAACTATGATGTCCTTTTTTATTAGTAGTCTGTATTGCTCTACAATCATTCCAGTATGTATCGGTTATGTTACTGTATCTTGAAATTGATAGAGTTCTTGTTAACTTTGCTAATAGAGGCCTTAGAGAAGGATGCAGTAAGATAGTTTGGAGCATCAAAACTCGAACTACCCATTACCCAATGCTCTTTGCTGCCAGTTTGGGTCAAAAAGTCTTTCCATTTTTATGTACTGCTTGCTCCTTTACCATGCTGTTGAAGGGTATCTCGTGTTGGCATCTATCTGTATCTTGATGTATATTGTAAGTGTCTTTTGTGACTATATCCTAGTGTGTTATAAATGGGTTGTTGTGAATACTGTGATGCAGCTCTGCAAAATTGATTCAGAGGGCAATGCAAGGAAAGTTGTTGGATGCTCATGCGTTGTTGTCAGGGTGAGGCCTCCTTTCTTCTTCAGACCAAATGTTTTGTAATCTCCATTACCATTCACATTCTAATTAATGATCCTCTGCTTTCTGTTTTCAGGATTATGGCGAGGAAAGCGAGGGCCTCAACGTTGTTCAAGAGCATTTGAAATCCAACTAGATGGCACTTGATGGAAGAGCGTAATGATTCTACAGGAGCCTGCACCGAGCTGTTTTTATCCGTTGTTGCTATGAAGTTAGAGTAAAGACCCTATCTTAGATTATGCCTCTGAACTTTGTTCTCTTGTCTCGAATTTTTATTTTTGGTTTCTGGTGTATGCTACTGTGTTACTTGGAAGCAAGAGTATCAAGCGTTTTTGGTGGTTGAAGATTGGTTGACTTTTAAACTCCAAGCTGTTTCGAGAGCTTCCTGGTAAATTTTGTTGAACCTATGAATTTTATGTTGTTGGTTACAAGGCCAACTTGGCAAGTATTTGATTGGTGGTTACTGCCTCGTTATAATGCAAACTGCCAGTAGCCGTCGTTGCGGTTAAGGGACTTGTGGGTATAATTGGATAATAGTGGGTTATTTGGTTGGTCAAGTTGGGTGGCAGGTTGGGCTATGTTGTCTGAGCTAGTGGGCTGGGGTTTAAATTTAGTGATGGCAATGGGGTGAGGTGGGGTGTGTATCTCAATACCCATGTTAGCTGCATGCGTTGGGTAATATCCGTACGGATATAAAGTAGGGTGGGTTGACTCTTACATGTTATGTGAAAAGAATACGCACACAATTTTACTCGATAAAAGCAAAGGTAAAAACGCTTTATAAATGAAAAATAGTGATAATAGAGGGTATGTGAGTATAACTAATTTAAAGAGCAAGTCTAACTAGTTAAAAAATCTAAAATAGGAGAAACACAAATAGATACTATAAGAAATTGCAATAGAATGGGTCAATAATGGGCCGGGCACGGCATATCATAAGTGGATATCCATGCTCCGACCCATGCTACTGTCCCATCACGGGTCAGGTCAGGTAATACCCCGCGGGACGAGTTCAAATTGTCATCCCTAGATTTAATGGTTTGATAGTTCGGTATTCAGCTGTAACACTAACACAAAGTATTATTAACCGTTTTGTCAAAAAAAAAAAAAGTATTATTAACCATTAGCCAATTGATTAGAACTAAACATAGACCATGGTATAGAGTTGTAACTAGTGATTAACGACGATCGAACATGATAAATTACGATTTGTATATTTCTAGTCACTAGTATCATGCATACAATTTTTCTACACTATGATATTTGATATTCTGTACTATCACGGTACACTTCCCTACCACGTTGGTATAATCTTATGTAGTACAGATTGATAATATATATGTTGAATTTTTCTTTTATTTGTTGCAAAATGTATTAAAGTGAATGCCATTAGAGAAACACGATTAATTTGATTGTTTATATAAAAAAAATTCAATTCGAACTTAAAACAAAAAATATATACCACGTTAAAATTAAATAAGGATAAAATTATTTGTGTCACATGAACTATTAATGGAGGTTATGTTACTAACCATATCTATTTCAAAAACTAAAAAAAATAGGGAACAAAATTATGTAGCAAGATTCTAAGATTCTCTCTTTAGTCTTCTCTCCCATCAGTCCCAATGCAACCTTCATGAGTGGTTTCGCCATGATGATCATCATCCACTAATTCTAATGAAACCCTAAATGCTCATAACAACATTCATCAACAACAACAAAAAGAAGCAATAAGCAGAAAGGCATATAAAGCTGAAGCTGGGAATATGAAGATAAATAATAATGATGAGCCTATAAGCAGATCAGGGCACCCTGATTTCAGAGTAGCCATTCTAGCTCCTCTGAAACTAGTGCTGTTAAGGCTCGGCAGTGTTAACTCTCTAAGGTAAGACTTAAGAGATACTGCCGAACCCAAAACCTCACGAAGCCTGCAGTTCTTTCATCTTTGTGATGTGAACATAAGCGTTTTGTGTTCGTGCAGCTTGATTCGACAGAGAATGTACTCGCAGGAGCGTATGGACTTGATGGCAGCTTTGCAGCTGGTGCTGAGCAAGTCTCTTGCACATGGCGGTCTTTCGAGGGGACTTCATGAAAGTGCCAGATTGATTGAGAGGCATGCTGCTCAGCTCTGCGTTTTGGCCGAGGACTGCAACCAGGCCGACTATGTCAAGTTGGTGAAGGCTCTCTGCGCCGAGCACAATGTAAACTTGGTGACTGTGCCTAGTGCCAAGACCCTGGGCGAATGGGCCGGGGTAAGTGTCTCTCATCTCATTCTTAGTCCCAATTGTTTGGTTAACCGAAAAATCGAGATAACCGAAGTCTAAATCTCTATTTTGGTCGGTTGTCGGTAAGGGGGGTCGGCAGTTCGGTTAACCGATAATCGACAGATCGGTTACCGGTTATAACCGAAACTAACCAACGGCCAGCCCTACTCTCAACTAAGCATATGCCCCTTGGGTGACCCACTTTTGTAGGAGAGGGAGGACCTAACTGACCATCACACATGCGCGTGCCGTTCGATAAACCGGTCGACCGCGCGGGTGGGTGGATGGATCAACCAGGGACTGACTTATGAGTTAATTATTTTCTATCCTTAACCGATATGAAGATAATTAACTCAATGGAATATCCAACAGACGCAGTTTAATTAAGAAAATAATTATCTTCCTAATTAGCGCGACTTACTCCCCAAATCAGAGGGTATATTCTTGTGGGTCTCGGCTCCTATAAATAGCCGTCTCCCCATCCCCTCTAAACACACCATCAAAGAGCATAAACATTAAACACGAGCGAGAGAGTGTTCAAAGAGCTCCGGTTTTCGCACAAAAAACCGTCGAGCACCCACGAGGAGCTGTTTTATCCTGGAGGCGACTGATTGATAGTCCGTCATGCGCAACGAAAGCAGTGCTGCGAACGTTTTAAAGAAAGCCACCTAAGTCCACGACTCAGCTCCAGATTTGGTAACCGTTCTCTCTTTGTTGTTCCGTTACTGACACTAGTTAACTTTGCTAATGCTAATAGATTGATTCCAAGGGCCATGCAAGGAAAGTTGTTGGATGCGCATGCGTCGTTGTCAGGGTGAGGATTCTTTCTACTCAAGACCAAAATGTGTTGAAATCTCTGCTGCAATTCACATTCTAATTAATGATCTCCTCTGCTCCCATTTTCCAGGACTATGGAGAGGAAAGTGAGGGCCTCAACGTTGTTCAATAGTATTTGAAATCCAACTAGAAAGTATCGATGGAAAAGGCGTGATGATGTTCCTGGAGCATGCGCCGTGTCGTTTCTATCCGCTCTTGCTATGAAGTTAGAGTCGAGACCCTATATTTGATTATTAATGGAGTTTGATTCGGTTTGGCAACACGACCTCTTAGTCCGGTTTGAGTTTGTCGAGTTGAATGTCCAGCCCTAAATAATCCATGGATGGTAAAACAAATGTAATGTACCCAGGCGAGCAGGAAGAAGACTCCGTCGGATTTCAATACACAGAATATTAGAGGTTAAAAGGCTTAACTATCCCTTTTCCAACAACTCGAGTTATTGGAACCAAGTGGTTAGTTCTCTAACATGGTATCAGAGCCTAAAACCGAAAGGTCATGGTTTCGAATCCTCATAACTACCCCCATTTCATGCCAATTCGTTTAGCACAAGGAATGGTATGTCCAACCTGTGCAAACTAAAGCCTCGTGGTTTGGCAGCACAAGGGTTCAACCTGTGCAAACCGTAAAAATCCACAATTCGGCATCGGCTTTCGTTTGAGGGGGCATATTAGAGGTTAAAAGGCTTAACTATCCCTTTCCCAACAACTCGAGTTATTGGGACCAAGCGTATTGAATGATCCTCAAGGATCTGATTCCAGAAGAACAGCAGCAGCAGCTGTTATACACAGCAGTCCTAGTCAACCTCGGATTCAAGACAGTCAACAGAGACGAGGAAGGCTGAAGTGCAATACATTACAAGTTTGGAACTAATGCGGCATTTTACCCCACGGTGTCGTTTTTATTATTTATTCGTTTTGATCTGTTAAGCACAGATTAGTTAGCCAATAACGAATCCAACCACGCCACCTGTCGGGCTCTGGTTTAATGGATTCAAACAACCGTTAAACACTGTTGTTTAGCCGTTGTTGTCTTCTTCTCCCCTCTTCTTCTATAAATACAAAATCCCAAAAGAGAGGACAGTAGGTTTTCCACTGATCCTCCACCCCAATCCAGTTGTCGTTTCTCTTATGGTATCAGAGCGACGTTCCGCCGCCTAGGTCTTCCGCATCAGCTGCAACCATGGCGACGAATGCTGGAGATGACACAGCCTCAGCCACAAACGCAGCTGCAACAACTGCAGAGACTACTGGAAACACTACTGGAGGATCTCCCATTTCACCGGAGTTTGTTTTTGGTAACCCCTTTTACCAGAACCCTAACGAAAATTTGTCTCAATCCATCGTTTCAGAAGTGTTAGATGGTAGTAACTATCAGATGTGGGCTAGATCGATTCGGATAGCTCTTAAAACCAAGTATAAACTTGGGTTCATTGATGGGTCTATTGAGGTACCAGATCTGAGAACCAACCCTAATGAGTACAGGGCTTGGGATGCTTGCAATACAGTCGTTTTATGTTGGATTATGAACTCTTTACATAAGGATATCAAACGAAGTGTGCAGAGTCATGAAGTTGCACAACTTCTCTGGGAAGAATTAAAGGATAGGTTTGGTCAGGCTAATGCAATCAAGCTGACCAACCTTGAGGATGAGCTTCACGCTACTAAACAAGGGAATATGACCATAACTCAGTATTACACCTTGGTCAAGGGACTCTGGGAAGAGTATACCAAGTTTAATCCCATTGTTCCCTGCACTTGTAATCCTGGACAAGTGACTCCTTGCCCAGCTGTGGAAGCTTTCAAGACTAAGCAGGAAACTGATTATTTAGTCAGGTTTCTTAGAGGAGTAGCACCTGCCTTTGATGTTGTTAAGACCCAGTTGCTGATGATGAAGCCCTTACCCACAGTGGTTGCTGCCTATGGTGATTTGCTCCAACATGAGCAGAAATTGAAAGGAGATAAAGGGAAAGCTTCACAATCTGTTGCACTTGCCTCTTTTGGGAGTCAAGCTGGTCAAGGCAGCCCTGCAAACAGGCCACCACCTAGGTCGAATACTTCTGAAGTAGGAGACACAGGGCTGTTTTGCAGGTATTGCAAGAAGAACAATCATAACATTGCTGATTGCTGGAAATTGAAAAGGAAGAACAAGGAACAAGGTTCAGGTGGTGGACAACGTTTTGCAGGAGCAGTAAATGAAGGAGAAGAGAGTCAATCATAATCTTTTTCTAATGGGGGATCTGGTAGCCAAAGTTCTGGTAACTCTGGTGCAGGAAGTTTGGGTATGCAATTCACTAATGATGAGCTGAATCGACTAAGGTTGTTGCTGCAAGGGGTAAAGAGTCCACCTTCCCCATCTCCTTCACCACTTCACTCTCCTAGTATTCACCATGCTGCTTTCTCAGTCTCACAGCAGATGCCACAGTTTCCTAACACTGCTGGTAAATATATTCTATCCTCATACATTCACTGTCATTCAGCTGCCCTTTGTCAATCATGGATTTTAGACACAGGAGCATCAGACCACATTATTTGCTATGGATCATTGTTTGTTAGTAGTCAGCCAGTAAAGGAAGTTTATGTCTACTTACCAAACAAGTCTAGAGTTTCTGTCACACATATTGGTTCTGTAAAACTACCAAATGGAATGCCCTTACACAATGTCTTACTCATTCCCAGTTTCACTTTCAATTTAGTGTCAGTTAGCAAGTTGACTCATGACCTACCAATCTCACTAAATTTCCACTCTGACTCTTGTCTTGTCCAGGACCTTGTGACCAACAAGATGATTGGCTTGGCAAGACAAAGTAGGGGTCTCTATCTGTTAACCACCAATCCAGAAAGTGAGACAAGGCATTCAGTAGCTTCAGTTTACAACTTTTCTCCACAAAAGATCAACTTATGGCATTGGCGTTTAGGACATCCCAGTTCAAGCAAGTTTATGTTAGTTAAACAATGTAATCCCAGTGTTCAGAATGAGAGAGTGAAACACTGTGACATCTGTCACTTTTCAAAACACAAAGGTTTGCCTTTTGCTTTGAGTGAGAATATTGCCGTTAATGTATTTGATTTAATCCATGTTGACATATGGGGGCCTTTGGCAGTTGAATCGTATGATGGTTTTTCATATTTTCTCACTATTGTTGATGATCATTCTAGAGTTGTTTGGACTTATTTTATGAAGCACAAATCAGAAGCAAGATCATTGCTTCAAGGTTTCTGTATTATGGTGCAGAAACAGTACTCTAAGTCAGTTAAAATAATAAGAAGTGATCAAGGTAGGGAGTTCCACATGAATGAGTTTTATCATGAACAAGGAATTGAGCATCAGATGTCTTGTGTAGCCACACCTGAGCAAAATGGGAGAGTTGAAAGGAAGCATCAGCACATTTTGAATGTGGCAAGAGCTTTAAGATTTCAGTCAGGAATCCCTTTACAGTTTTGGAGTGACTGCATTCTACATGCAGTTCATTTGATCAATAGGCTACCAGCACCTGTGTTACAAAACAAAAGCCCCTATGAAGTTTTACATCAGAAACCTCCTTACCTTGGACACTTGAAAGTTTTTGGCTGCCTAGCCTATGCCTCTACATTAAGCAGTGGGAGGACTAAATTTCAAACAAGAGCAAGACAGTGCCTGTTCCTAGGATATCCCATGGGAATCAAGGGTTACAAGTTGTTTGAATTGACTACACATGACATCTTTATTTCCAGAGATGTTGTTCTTTATGAAGATATCCTTCCCTTCAAAACTTCTGTCACACCTGCTGCAGAAGATGATTTACCTTCTTTCCCATACCTTCCAACAGTTCATTTTCCTCAAGCTGCTGACCCTATTTCTCCTAATAGCAAGGCTCATGGGGGCCAGCATTCCATCTCAGTACCACCACTTGTTGATCCCTCCATAGGAAATCAGGGTAACTCTACACCTGATCCTAATCCTGACCAACAAGATGATGGTTCAAGTGAATCAGATGACTATAGGGATGCTGAGCCTGACTCTCAGGACTCAGATAATGATGAATTGCCTCCAGGAGATGATCTTGAAGATGAAGAACTACCTCCCAGGACCAGGAAACCTCATGTTTGGCATAAGGATTACATTACTTCAGTTAATCAAATTAGCCAATACTGTATGGCTAATTATGTCTCTTATCATCAGTTTACTGCACAGCAGAAAAGATTTGCATTAAATTTGACAGTTCTTATGGATCCACAAACTTACAAAGAGGCAGCAAAAGAGCATCACTGGATCAAAGCAATGGAGGAAGAGTTAAATGCATTGCTGGAAAACCAGACATGGGATCTGGTAACACTGCCACCAGGGAAGAGAGCTATTGGCTGTAAGTGGGTCTACAAGACAAAATTGAAGCCAGATGGAGCAATTGAAAGATATAAAGCAAGATTGGTAGCCAAGGGCTTTACTCAAATCTATGGAATTGATTTCCTAGATACTTTTTCTCCTGTTGCAAAAATTAACGCTGTGAAGACTCTTTTAGCAGTTGCAGCAGCAAAGGACTGGTTTCTACATCAGATGGATGTCTCAGATGCCTTTTTGCATGGAGATTTGGATGAAGAGGTGTACATGACACCACCACCTGGTTTGGAAGGAAGTGAAGGGAAGGTCTGCAGGTTGAAGAAGTCACTCTATGGCTTGAAACAAGCCAGCAGGCAATGGTTTGCTAAACTAACCTGCTCTTTACTAAAAAATGGTTTTTCACAGCCAGCTTCTGACTATTCAATGTTTACAAAAAGGGTTCAAGGCAGATTGGTTGTGTTGCTTGTTTATGTGGATGACATCATCCTAGCAGGAGAGAAGCTGGATGATTTGGAATTGGTTAAGCTATATCTGAAGAGAAGTTCTAAGATCAAGGATCTTGGAGTTTTGAAATACTTCCTGGGGCTGGAAATAGTCAGAAATGCTGAAGGCATTGTTGTGAATCAAAGAAAATATTGCAGTGAGTTGCTTGAAGACACAGGGTATTCTGAAGCTAAAGAGACACAAACCCCTATTGACATGAAAGTCAGACTAAGCTCCAAGGAAGGTACCCCAATTGAAGATCCAAAGTCTTACAGAAGACTTATTGGCAGATTGCATTATCTGACCATTACTAGGCCAGATATTTGTTTCACAGTCCAGCAGTTGAGTCAGTTTCAAGGTAATCCTTTGGATTCCCATTTGCAGGCAGCACTGAGGTTGCTGAGATACTTGAAGAAGTCCCCAGGACAAGGGATTATGTTCAGGAAAGACACAGATTACTCTGTTACACGCTACAGTGACTCTGATTGGGCATCCTGTCCTGACACAAGGAGGTCAATCACAGGGTTCTGTACATATTTTGGGAATTCTCTTCTCACATGGAAGAGCAAGAAGCAAACTACAGTGTCAAGATCATCATCTGAGGCTGAATACAGAGCCTTGGCTCATCTGGTCTGTGAAATTCAGTGGATGAAGGGTCTTTTGTCAGAACTGGATGTCAAAGTTACAGTTCCTATCACAATCTATTGTGATAACAGGTCAGCATTCATATAGCTGAAAATCATGTTTTCCATGAAAGGACTAAGCATATTGAGATAGATATGCATGTTACTAGGGAGAGAATTAAGACTGGTTTGATTAGGTTATGTCATCTACACACATCAGATCAGCTAGCAGACATTTTCACTAAGGGTGTGAGCAAATTCAGGATGTTGGAGTTACTTGGCAAGATGGGAGTAGTTGATGTATACTCTCCATCTTGTGGGGGCCTATTGAATGATCCTCAAGGATCTGATTCCAGAAGAACAGCAGCAGCAGCTGTTATACACAGCAGTCCTAGTCAACCTCGGATTCAAGACAGTCAACAGAGACGAGGAAGGCTGAAGTGCAATACATTACAAGTTTGGAACTAATGCGGCATTTTACCCCACGGTGTCGTTTTTATTATTTATTCGTTTTGATCTGTTAAGCACAGATTAGTTAGCCAATAACGAATCCAACCACGCCACCTGTCGGGCTCTGGTTTAATGGATTCAAACAACCGTTAAACACTGTTGTTTAGCCGTTGTTGTCTTCTTCTCCCCTCTTCTTCTATAAATACAAAATCCCAAAAGAGAGGACAGTAGGTTTTCCACTGATCCTCCACCCCAATCCAGTTGTCGTTTCTCTTACAGAAAGAGTATATCTTGCAAAACTTCTAAGAAAACCAGCCGAATAGAACAGGGACTTGCTTACGGTGTAGGTTTTGCATTCTTGTTCTCGTCCTTTCCTTTTTTTTTACTATCTCGTGGTTTACCCGCGCCTAGTAGTACATCCAACTCATGACTTTACATGTAATCAATACAAAGAAATTTAAAAAAATGTTAATTTTGAGTTAAAATATTAAATGGACCTAACGAAAGATGAATTCAATAAAGAGAATTTTTAAGGTTTGAAAAACCGTACCGTACCAACCATAAAACCCTCTTATCATAAGCGAAATCGATAGACGGTATTTAGCGGTATGAAATATTGAAGCACGCTATGAAACTGCAGTTTTAACATAAAATAATCTATCGTTGTTTTTGTTGCGCAATACAACCTCTTTGATACGATTTTTTTCAATAATCAAATCATTCATATTAAGAACTTATTTATCTTACTCACACTCATGGTTGTCAAACCGGTTTCATGCCGGCCGGTTCAACCGGGTTCAACCGGTACCGGTCAGCAAACCGGTTGGAAAGGGGCCGGCATTTAACTGTGGTCAAATCCGGTCAATGCCGGTCAGATCCGGTCAAATCCGGAAATTCCGGCCGGTTAGACCATAAACCGGAATTTAATGTTACACACATTATATCCAAAAATAAACATCCTCCATAGGATTTGAACCAAGTACCTCATGTTCATTTTAGTTTAACTTACACACCAGTAGGCTACAAGCAATTTTGTTGTCTACATTAACCTTATATTTTATATATCTAATACTAAATTTTATACAAATCATTATAAACATTAATAAAATTCACTTTAATAAAATTTTATTTTTAAGCATCTAATTGTTTAGTATTAGTTACCAATTCTTAGCTATGAATTATTTTGTGTGACATAATTCTTCTATTTGCTTTTTCATAACTAATTTATTTGGAATTGAGGATTTCCATTTTCCTCATGTATTTTATTAAAACCGGCACAACCGGCATGAATACTGGTTGTACCACGGTCAGACCATTCCACTTACAAAACCGGCACACCGGCATAAACCGGTTTGACAACCTTGCTCACACTTAAAAACATCATAGAAATATACAATTAGTTTCTAATGAAAGCGCTTCACGAATTACATGAACCGCATTTCCCGTTAGGACCCAGAGTAGTAGCATCAATTGTGCATCCCAACAAAACAATACCACCAAAAATTCATGAAAAGAAAAGACATACAAACAATATCATAGCATTTTATAGGGCAAGAAGCTCATATATCACACCACACGTAATACATATTTAAACGTAATAAATTGTAACGATTGAACTCATCATTGTAGCATGATTAGTTTAATCGTGGATCTAATCCAATCCAATCCAGGTTGACTTGTCCACTCCAGATTCGACTCATACCACACAATTAGGACTGTTAATGAGTCGAGCTATTCGTGAGCGGCTCGGTCTCGAACTCGATAAAAGCTCGTTTGATTAAATAAAGTTCGGCCGTTAATAAACGAGCCGAGCTTGAGCTCTACCTTGTTCGGCTCGTGAGGCTCGTGAACTAGCTCGATTAGGTGGCTCGTTAACACAACTCATGAACTGTCTCGTTTTAAACTTATGCGATGTCCCAATATTGTGACTAGAGAGCCAACTCGACTACGGCTTATGAGAAAATCAATCTATATTTTATGAGTTGGTTTGTTAATGATGCATATAATTATTAAATTGTATATATATCAGCTCATATGGTGTTTAATACATTGAGTATATGTAGGCAAATACGTCTCATATATGACATAACATTAGGTAATCACATGCATCACATATGACATATAAATATTAGGGTGTTTATAATATAAATTATCTTAGAGTTGAGCTCGAGCCAAACTTTTTACCTTAATGATGTGTCAAAATTTAATAAATGAGTTGGCTCGTGTTCGACTAGACTCATTTATAAACGAGCCGAACATGAACAAGACAAAACTCCACTTGACTCATTAGCAGCCCTACACAATACTAAATTAATGCGCGGAGTTGTCTACTAAATAAAAAGAGTAGACCATTGACAATTGACACAAACAAAGGAAGCGAAGGAAGCAAATTCAAACTTCCCTCCCTCTCCTATTGTTCTTTGTACTATAAAAATACAAAACCTTTTCATCCACATCCCTTCACCAACACAACCTGAAAACAAAATGAGAGCAGCAACCCTTCTTCTGCTGTCCCTCCTCCTCTCCGTCGCCGCCGCGGCGACGACGGAGCGGTGCAACCCGCACGACAAGGCCGCGCTGTTCAAGATCAAGCAAAGCTTCGGCAACCCTTACCTCCTCGCCTCCTGGCTGCCCGACGCCGACTGCTGCACCAGCTGGTACCAGGTCGAGTGCGACCGAACCACGAACCGCATCACCTCGCTCACCGTCTTCGCGGGCGAGCTCTCCGGCCAGCTCCCCGCCGCGATCGGCGACCTCCCTTACCTCCAGACCCTCACCTTCCGCAAGCTCACCAACGTGACCGGTCCGGTCCAACCCGCAATCGCGAAACTCAGCCACCTCGAGTCACTCCGGCTCGACCACCTCAACCTAACCGGTTCGGTCCCCTCCTGGCTGTCGACCCTAAAAAACCTGACCTATCTGGACCTCTCGTTTAACTCGCTTACCGGCTCGATCCCCGGCCAGCTCGCCGAGTTACCCAACCTCGACGCGCTCCACCTCGACCGGAACGGTCTGACCGGCCCGATCCCGGACTCGTTCGGCCGGTTCGGGGGGAAATTCCCGTCCCTATACCTCTCCCACAACCGGCTCTCCGGCCAGATCCCGCCTTCCATGGCGAATTACAACACCGATTTCTCGATCGATCTTTCGAGGAACCGATTGGAAGGCGACGCGTCGATGCTGTTCGGGGCGGAGAAGAGCGTGCTGTTTGTGGACATCTCGAGGAATCTGTTCGAATTCGATTTCTCTAAGATCGCGGCGTTTCCGCCGAACATGACGAATCTGGATGTGAATCACAACAGGATCTACGGGAGCATACCGGCGGCGATGGCGAGGCTCGATCTGCAGTTCTTGAATGTGAGCTACAATCGGCTCTGTGGGGAGATTCCGGCCGGCGGGAAGTTGCAGGGGTTCGATTCGTCGGCTTACTTCCATAATCGGTGCTTGTGCGGCGCCCCGCTCGAAAGCTGCAAGTGAAATGCGGATCTGAATTTGTTGGCCGCTCTGCTTGAATTGAAGTTGGTTTTGGTCTGGTCCGTTACTAAATGAGAATGGATTTGCATTCTTGTTTGGCTATTGGCTGTTTGATTAAATTATAAATGTAGCGACTAAAAATAAAGAATGTAGCGACTTGATTAAGTTGAAGTGAAGATAAACTCGTGTATAATAATAATTTGGGTCACTGTGAAGTTGATATTTGATACCGCAAGTTGTACCGGGAAAGTAATTAGTAGAATATTTTGCGATTTAACAGTGATTTAATAGCGATGTAATTATTTCATACCGCAAAAATCTTATACTAACTTTGGCTCTGATAACCAATTTTTTTTTTCCGGATCATACTACTTGTACGATTTATCAAAACACTATTATTAGACGGTCTGTGTAATTAGATAGGTTTTAAAATATAAGTATCTTCTTAATGATTAAAGAAAGTTCTTTAAAATTGGATTGACAACTAAGACATAGCTCTATCCACTACTTTTCATTAGCAAATAGTTTTTATTAAATCAAAATTCAAAGAGAAAACAATGAATAAGGAGTTTGTCTCTTTAGACAATCATCAATGATCAAACCATTTCTAGGTCAAACCTAAAAGGAAAAACAAAGACCGACTAGTAGCAAATTTCGAGGGTAATTAGTATAAATGGTAACAAATCTTTGCACTTAGTACAAAATGGTCACAAACTTTTAATTTGTAACAATACGGTAACAAAACTTTGAAATTGTATAAAATGGTCACCGCTATTTAATTTATGACCGTTTTGTTTTAAGTGCAAAGGTTTGTTACCGAATCGTTACAGATTAAATGTTGGTCATGTTTTGAGGTCAGGTAGTTTGTTCGTTAAGTATATGACACTAACCACTTGAACGACATATAAGACGTCAGGTCATGTATTCATCGACATATTTGCTTTGCCGAATAAGAATGCCCTCAGTTGACCTTTCAATTTCGATACCAAGAAAGTAAGAAAGTAGACATAGTTTTTCAACTAAAAAGCAGTCTGGAACCCGTTTGTGAGCCATTGAATTCTCTCATTGTCATCCTAAACAACATAATATCATTCACATACATTAACAAAACCACCATACAACTAGAGTGAATTGTAACGGTGATTGAGCGTTCAAACTTTTGAACTTAATTTGTACAAAACGGTCACCAAAAGTCTAATTTGCAACGACACGGTAACAAAAGTTTGAACTGGTATGAAATGGTCACACTGTTTAATTTGTGACCGTTTTGTTCTAAGTAAAAAAGTTTTGTTATCAAATGGTTACAAATTAAAGGTTTGTGACTGTTTTGTACTAAGTGCAAAGGTTTGTGACCATTTATGCTAATTGCCCCAAATTTCGAAGTATATTTTAACACCATCCAACCTGCAAGGTGGGCATCGATCTTATCGATGAGATTAATGTACGTTGCTTTGGAGAGGGCCCTGCTCAGGTCAGCCTGATAGGATGCCATGACTCATTCTCTACACAAGCATTAGTAATATGGCTAAGGTGCTCCATACACAAAATAAAGATATAGGGTGAGAGCGGGCACCTCTTGCACAAACCCTGAGATGGGGCGAACTCCTTGGTGAGTCCTCCACTTCATTGTAGTCGCATATTCGGTGAAGAGATACCGTCCCCAGTAAGATTGACGAATTGTCATGGAACGCCCGCAGCTTCCAATGTATCTCGCACAAACTCCCACTTAATCCGGTCGTACGCTTTGGCAAAGTCGACTTTCAGTACCATCCACCGTGTTTGCCCTGCTTTGGCACGAATGGAGTGGACCACTTCTTGTTTGGGTATTGGCTGTTTGCTTAAATGTAGCGACTTGATGATTATAAAAATAAAAATGTAGAGACTCTAACATGGTTTAAATAACTCGAGTTGTTGAGACAAGATTATTATTGATCTTATAACACTTTTTTAAAGCGACTTGATTAAAAGAAGTGAAGATAAACTTGTGTATAATATGTTGGGTCACTGTGAGATCCACTCGAGAGTAGATACCTACACTCTTCTAAGATAAGGCAATATTACGCAGGATTGTGAAATTGTACCGCAAATAGTACTGGAAACGTAGTCATAGTTGTAATTTTGGAGCTTTCACTGAACCTCCATAGGATATAGTTAATTTTGATTTAGCTTTGTCTCCTACATAATAAAAAACATCAAACACCCTTGTTTGAATTTTGTTTAAAGAGATGCGAGCTCTGTTTGTTTAATCAATGTTCAATAAGTCTAGGTGCAATTAATTTCATTTCAATACAAGTGTTTCTAGCCGGAAAAAAACTATCTATCCATTTGATTTTCCCTCCTCTTTTTTCCTTTGTTGATATCGTTCTATTAGGGGTTAATACCTTAGTTTGGCCCGAACTATGCACATACTTTCTACTTTGGCCCGAATTATTGAATATTGCTACTATGGCCTGAACTATGTAGCAAACTTCCTCATTTGGCCTGGAGGCGCGTTTGACCGTCAAAACAGACGGTCAACCAAGTTGACCGTTAGTCAATATACACATCAGCTGCCACGTATACATTAAAAATTATATTTTTTTTTACAAAAAATAAAAAATAAATTAATAACTCTAAAAAAAAGGAACGGAAAAAAAAAAGAAAAAAAAAAGGATCGTCGGCTTCTGAACTACTTCATCCAAGAAATCCAGAATCAACTGCGCCGCCGCAGGGGAGAATAAAATTAGACGCGGATAAGGATCCATGGATAGGGATTAGGGAGCAAACAACTTAGCTAAAGAACTTAAAATTACCTCAGCCCAAGTTTCCATAGTGTAAGAAAATCCTTCCGGCTTATCAGATTCGCCAAACCCTAGAAGATCAATGGCGTAGACGGCGCGATTCTGCGCCAATGTCTCGATATTTCTGCAATTCAGACGGGCGGCTGCAATTTCACGATTTGGGGAAAGACAAAAGGGGGGTGGAGAAAAGAAGGGTTTCAGACGGGTACCTGCGCCAGTGAGGAATCGAGGCGCCGAAGCCGTGAACTAGGAGAAGCGGCAGTGACCGGGAGGGAGACTGAGCGACGAAGTAATTGATCGTGTACTGGCCCTTCCACCTCCATTTCAAGCATCTTTCCTTAATCTCCGTAGCCTGCAGCGCGCCGGAGGAGGAAGAAGCGGGTGAAGGGGAAGTTGGGGCTTCCGCGGAGGAGCGAATTGAGAAAGCCCTCGGTTTCGATTTCGTCAACCGCGCCGATTGCGGCGGCGCTCTGTGCGGCTGCGGCGGCGGGAATGGAGTCGTCTTTCACCGACCGGCCGCCGCTGCATTTGCCGGAGAATCTTCGAGAATCGCTGAGAATTCGTCGGGGAAGGGAGTTGGGGGTAGACGATGGGTCTGAAAGGGGGGAGGTAATTCCCGATAAGAATCGATGCGGGAAGATAGGGATGGGTGGCTGTGGGTTTTTTTTTCTTTTATTTTTTTCTTTTATTTTCCGTTCCTTTTTTTTTAGAGTTATTAATTTATTTTTTATTTTTTGTAAAAAAAATATAATTTTTAATGTATACGTGGCAGCTGATGTGTATATTGACTAACGGTCAACTTGGTTGACCGTCTGTTTTGACGGTCAAACGCGCCTGCAGGCCAAATGAGGAAGTTTGCTACATAGTTCAGGCCATAGTAGCAATATTCAATAATTCGGGCCAAAGTAGAAAGTATGTGTATAGTTCGGGCCAAACTAAGGTATTAACCCTTCTATTAGTAATATATATTTATGTATCCAATGACCATTTTGTGGGTTTTTTAAAATTTTGGTCCATTACTTTGTGGGCTTCAACTTTGAACTCAGAGACCAATGAAAATTACCAGAGTAGTGGATATTGTTCATATATAGTTCTAAAGAGTTCATTGTAGAAATAGTTTAAATCCCACAATGCTATGTTGCGCCATCAATCATGTTTGTAATATTTGGTTGCGTAACGTCCGTTTAATATTGTTTTAACTTAAAATAGAATTTTACTAATGCTAATTTTATTCATGTATATAATGTTTTGTTATTATAACATGAATTTGTAGAAATTGCAAGATTCATTCGAGCCGTCACCATCCAAGGATATACAAGATGGCTCACAATATTATTCTTGGTTGTTGTTGTTCTCTACAGGAACGGTGAACTGGCCGAGCATTTAATGGCGTGAAGAATATTTGATGGGAAAACTTTCCTCCCTTGTTTCGAGAAAATGAGTCAGTTTGCTTGAGAGTTTTGGTGATGGATTTGGTCATGGAAATATATCTATTATGGGCTTGAACCGAAATCCATCGTTTGCTTTAGGGAATTAGGGAGATGGAATTTGTGGGGCCCACCTCTTTTGGGGTTCCAAATCCGTGGACACCACGGACTTGGAAGTTCCACCTCTTGAGGTGGGATTTGGGTGATGGATTAAAATCCATGATGGTAAATTACCTTTCTACCCTTAATTATTTCTTTAATTACACATTTGTCATAGTTTAATTCAATGGTCATGCAACTGTAAACTTTTATAATTTCGTATTTTATAAATATGAGAATTTATCATTTCATTTTGTAATATCGTATTTTATTTAAATATGAATGTATATGTGATTTGTTAGATTCACCTAGAAACACTTTATGCTCATCTTGTAGCAATAAAGCAAGCAATTGGCTGCAATTGATACATAATATTGCGTACATTATTAGATGAATTGTTAATTAGTGCCAAATTGTAATACATTTCTATATTTGTAGTTGAATTATTAATCCACATAGTGGTAAAGAGTTTAAAATTTCTTTCTATGTTTTGGATTAGTTTTAAATGAAAGATTTGGATTAGAATATCGAAATATAATTAAATAAGGGTAACTAGGTAATTTGTATTTAATATCCACAAATCTAATCAAACAAAGTCCATAATCAAATCCATCAAGCAAATAATAGACTTGTTCAAATCCATAATGCCACCAAATCCATCATATATCCATGATTTTTCAAAACTCAGGTTTTACCAAAACTCTCATTTTTCAAATCAATGAAGCAAACGATAGTTAATGCTTGCCATCATTCTTTTCCAATAACAGCAGTGCATAAGCATATGGTTTTGGACCAGTCAATAATGGAAGCCCCCCGCCCATGAAAATTTAGAGAAACCAGAACAAAGAACGAGTTGATCGTTATCTACAAATTTTTGGTCGTGAAAATTTTCGTATCAAACATACCACGTTATACCATCTTAGTATGGAGTGGTAGCTAGTTGTTAATTAGTGATTAAACGTGATAAATGACAATTAGTATATTCCTACTATTGTATGCATACAACATTTTTAGGTTATGATATATTCACATCACGATATATCACCATGGTACATTTCTCTATCACCATGGCATAATCTTATGTAGTGTCGCAACATTTCTACACTACGATATATCCATACCATCACCATGTGGTGCATTTCGCTACTACCATGGTATAATCTTATGTACTACCAAGCACTATCATCATGAATCATGATATAGACTAATGATATATGTATCTTTCTTTTTTCCCCAAAATATATCAAACTAAATATCATTTTGAAGATCACGACGAATTTGATTTTTCTATGAAAAAATCGAATTACAAGTTAAAAAAATGAGATATATCCTGCTAAAACAATTGAAGCAAAAAATTATTTGTCTCACATGTGTTATTAATGAAGTCTGCTGAAGTTATGCAAAATTGAGTTATTGACCAGATCTACTTAACAACGGGTGGGACAAGGACTAAAAATTTGGGGGAACAAAATTATGCAATAGATTCTAATATGCTTAATTGAGAAATTATGGAACAAAAATTCTCTCTTTACGGCTAATCTAATGAACCCTAATAACAACTGCATCAGAGCATTCATCAACTGCAACAACAACAAAAAGAAGCAAGCAGAAAGGCATTGCAGAGTTCTCGACTGTGAACCACTTCAAAGTGGACCTTAGAAAAAAAAAAAGAAAAAAAAAAAAAGAACTTCTGGCATCTGTAAGTAAATCTTTGAGAGCATATATGGATGAGAAAGACAGAAAGCAGTAATCTTTTGAAATGATGAGCTAAAGGAGGCGAATAAAGATGAAGCTGTGAGAATATGAAGAAGATAAAGCTTCTTTATCTGAAATTCCATATGAACAAACAACACTCTCTCAAACTTTGAGATTCTTTCTGCTTTCTTCAAGCTCACGCCCACCACCCACTTTCAAGCTGTTTTTCACTGCACATTCAAAACCCAGAAGAAGAAGAAAAAAAAGAAAGTAGAAAACTGTCCACACATTCTGCACTGCAGCCTTTGCTTGCTTGTTCAATGGCTGTCCACGCCTTACAAAAGCAGTCTTTTCTTTGACATAGCAGCAACCAATGGACCATAAACATGGAAAAGCAAAATGATCCCCAAGGAATCTCAAACCAACAGCTTTTTGAAACTACCAAGTTCTAAGCTTTTTTCAGTAATGGTTAATCTTTTTACTATAGCTTTACTCAACTGCTTGTGTCTTCTACACCGACAAATTCATGAGAACAGATGATTCACGCTTAGTAGCCACGCTTAACCAGAAAGAATAAGTACCCTCTTTCCCCAAGTTCCAACTTTTGCAACAGAACAATCTGCAGTAGCATTTGTGCCTTTTTCCCCCCTAATTTTCAATTGTTACCATGATCATCATATTTCCCCAACTTTTTTACTTACAAAAAACTGAGATTCCTTTTGCATTCAGTCCAACCAAAAAGCCATTATGCAGCTGGTAGTGGAACTGGAAGATGCTTCTTACAGACTACAGATAGCAGAGAATCATAATAATGAAAGCTATAAGCAGAAGCACCTGGTTTCAGAGTCCCCATTTTAGCTCCTCTGAAACTGGAAGGCCTCTCCTTTCATCATCAAACTCATCAGTCCACCTTCCAATTCCCCACCAATCAGCTCCTCTGAAAAAGCTCAAATTGTCATTCAACCCAAAACACACAAATGAATCCAGCAGGTTCCAACACTCAAAAGGAAGACTTCAAGCTCAAGGACACCAAGCCACAGCTCGGAGAACGATGGCCCCACGGAGGCTCACGAGGCGGGGGAGGATGGATCAGCAGCGAGCGAGCCACCAGCACGTACGATCTCGTCGAGCAGATGTTCTACCTCTACGTCCGAGTAGTGAAGGCTCGAGACCTCCCACCAAACCCAGTATCAGGAAGCTGCGACCCTTACGTGGAAGTCAAGCTAGGTAACTACAAAGGCAAAACACAGCACTTCGAGAAGAAACCCAATCCGCTATGGAACCAAGTCTTCGCATTCTCCAAAGACAAGCTTCAATCCTCCATCCTCGAGGTGTTTCTCCGAGACAGGGAAATGGTGGGGAGGGACGATTACATAGGGAAAGTGATATTCGACATGCACGAGGTCCCGACACGAGTCCCTCCAGACAGTCCCTTAGCTCCTCAATGGTACAGGCTAGAGGACCGACGAGGCGAGACCAAGCTGAAAGGTGAAGTGATGCTGGCTGTCTGGATGGGGACACAAGCCGACGAGGCTTTCCCCGACTCGTGGCACTCCGACGCTGCATCGGTCCATGGCGAGGGCGTGTACAATGTCCGTTCCAAAGTTTACGTCTCCCCCAAGCTATGGTACCTTAGGGTGAACGTCATCGAAGCACAGGATGTCGAGCCACATGACAAAACTCAGCAGCCGCAGGTTTTTGTGAAAGCTCAGGTTGGCAACCAGGTGCTCAAAACCAAGCTGTGCCCAACAAAGACTCCGAATCCGTTGTGGAATGAGGACCTGCTGTTCGTAGCTGCTGAGCCGTTTGAAGAACAGCTGGTGCTGACACTAGAAAACAGAGTGGCTCCTTCCAAAGACGAGACAGTGGGGCGAATCGTGCTGCCGCTGCACACGTTCGAGAAGCGGATGGACCATCGAACGATCCATTCGAAGTGGTTCAACATGGAGAAGTTCGGGTTCGGAGTTCTGGAGGCGGACAAGAGGCACGAGCAGAAGTTCTCCAGCAGGATTCATTTGAGGGTCTGCCTGGAAGGAGGTTACCATGTGATGGATGAATCGACCATGTACATAAGCGATCAGCGGCCGACTTCCAAGCAGCTGTGGAAGCAGCCGATTGGGCTACTCGAAGTCGGGATACTGAGCGCGCAAGGAGTTCAGCAAATGAAAACCAAAGATGGGAGAGGGGCAACGGATGCATACTGTGTAGCCAAGTACGGGCTCAAGTGGGTGAGAACTCGAACGATCCTCGACAGCTTTAATCCGAAGTGGAACGAGCAGTATACCTGGGAGGTTTACGATCCTTCCACTGTGATCACGCTCGGAGTGTTCGACAACAACCATCTGGGGAGCAACGATGGAGGGAAGAACGATGCCAGAATCGGGAAGGTGAGGATCCGACTGTCGACTCTCGAAACGGATCGAATCTACACGAATTCGTACCCTCTCCTCGTCCTGCAACCATCTGGATTGAAGAAAATGGGGGAGCTTCACCTCGCGGTTCGATTCACCTGCTTGTCATTAGCCCATATGATCTACCTCTACGGCCAGCCTCTGCTTCCCAAGATGCATTACCTGCATCCCTTCACGGTGAACCAGGTGGACAGCTTGAGGTTCCAAGCGATGCGAATTGTGGCGACTCGGCTTGGGAGAGCCGAGCCACCGCTGAGAAAAGAAGTGGTAGAGTACATGATCGATGTGGATTCACACATGTGGAGCATGAGGAGGAGCAAAGCAAACTTCTTCAGGGTCGTGTCGCTCTTCTCCGGAATGATGTCGATCAGCAAGTGGATCGGCGAGGTCTGCCAGTGGAAGAATCCGGTGACCACGGTGTTGGTTCACGTGCTGTTCTTCATCCTGGTGTGCTACCCCGAGCTGATTCTGCCCACGGTGTTCCTGTACATGTTCTTGATTGGGGTTTGGAACTTTCGGTTTCGACCCAGGAACCCGCCTCACATGGACACCAAGCTGTCGTGGGCAGAGGCAGTTGCAGCGGACGAGCTGGACGAGGAGTTCGACACTTTTCCGACCACCAAGGCGCAGGACGTGGTGAGGATGAGGTACGACAGGCTGAGGAGCGTTGCAGGGAGGATTCAGACCGTGGTCGGAGACATTGCGACGCAAGGGGAGAGGTTTCAGGGTCTGCTGAGCTGGAGGGATCCTCGAGCTACGAGCTTGTTCGTGATGTTCTGCTTCGTTGTGGCTGTGGCGCTCTACATTACGCCATTCAAGATGGTGGCTCTGGTTGCAGGGTTGCTTTGGCTGAGGCATCCCAAGTTCCGGAGCAAGTTGCCTTCTGTTCCAAGTAATTTCTTCAGGAGGCTGCCGTCCAGAGCTGATAGCATGCTGTGATTAAACAAAAATAAAACGCAAATGTTACAGGTTCATTGTTCCTTTTGATAGGTTGGTTAACGGACGTTGATCATGTTGGGATTGCAGAACAAAACATGATTTTGTAACCCATGGCTTATATCGCTAATTCTCTTCCAAAGATTCAAGTTTTGCGCATAACTTAGTTACCAGCTTCCTGAAAGAAGACCACCCATCTGAAATCCTACAAGCATGCTGAGGCATTTTCTACCCATTTTAACTAAGCAAGAACGAAATTAAGGTGAAAGGTTATCTTGGTTTAATAAACTTTTGGTTAGAATTTGTGCAAGCAACTCCGGCGATACAAAGAAGCTGCCACACAGCAGCACAAATTCACAAATTAAACTCGCAGAATGTCCATCCCAAATCCGAAGTTACTACAACGTTCCTCCTAATCTAACTTGACCAGAGTTGGGAAATGGGTTTCCCAACTTTGCATGCCACAATATTGTCCAGCACTATGCCCTGCAGTTGTTTCTCAATTTCCTCCATTGGCCGGCAGGCGTCGATGATCTGCAAGAAGTTGATGCAACAAATGAAGTGATCAGGTCAGTCTCTCGCAAGAACAAAAATAAACTCCGGATTACTGTTGAATATGCGAACAATTGACAAAATCCATAAAGACTCGGCACTCCAGACTTGTTATGCAAAGTATCTGAACGGATTTACTCGGCAACCTACTTTGTTTCAGTTCATAAAGAATTGTGGACATAATCTGAACGATAAAGCATGGAATGTCCTGGGTTGCTTACCTACCAGTATCAGGACTCCAAATGGGACCACAGCAAACTACAACACTAAGCTAAAGTAGGGTTTCAACTTTCAACTAAAGCACGTACGATATGGTCAAGATTCTCCAATATTCTTTGAAGTATTAATCATAGTTACCTTCCAAGAAGAATCACGGAGGGCATGGTAGCATTCAGCAACCTTCTTTTGAAACTCAAGTTGCTCATATCGTTCATCTCCATAACCTCCTCTTTCTGCAGCTTTCTGATGATTAAGAACATAAAGGCTTGAGGAACTATTTTAGACAACCAAAAGCTAATACCCAAAAACCGATACTCCCAAGTGAACTCTTAGCAGCAAGTCAATGGAGAAACAATTGCAGTTATCAAGTGAAGACAATCCAAAATTCGGTGATCTTGCACGATGAAATCACAACAAATGGTTCACTCTTGTGGGCTATATTTGCATCTCTCCAAATTCCAATGACAGATAAAGCATAAAATATTAATATAAATGTCTGACATCAAGGGATGAAGCCTGCTCAAGTTTCAACTAGTTTGGGCAGCGTGCTTTGAATCAGCCTTAGACGTCTATAATGCACTTTCTTTTCGCCTTAGACAGAGAAGAAATTACCTCTGGTGGTATGTCAAGGTACAGAACCAGATCTGGAGCGGGCAACCCAAATTCAGGAGCCTGCAAAAGATTATTCCATTCAGCAATAACCCCACAACAGATGTGGTCCTAAGTTTCTGATGGTTTCGAGCCAGTATTTACCTTACACCAGTGGAGATCAAGTCCTTTGGCTGCTGAAAATGCCACGCCAGAATATGAGTAACGGTCTACAATCAGAGTGGTTCCACTCTTCAATTTAGTTTCCATTAGTGACCTGGAAAAACAGTTTAAATGTTTAGCACTTTGTAAGAGAAACAGACTAGAAGCAAACATCATTTGCATCACGTAGAAACCCATTCGAAGGGTATGGTCATCAAAAGGTTCAGCAGTATGAAGAAGTACTGAGTATACTCAACAGTAGATATAAATGTTACTGGAAAAAAGTGAATTTGATAATCAATGCAGTTCATAGAGTAAAATACTAAAAGGTAGTCATAAGGAGCTTATGCTAAACAAATGAAATCACATTGTAGAACAAGATCAGGCCTTCAGTGGAGATGCATAATAAATTGCAATTTCTTGGAATTCAATTATGCATTTTAGATTCCCATTCGTTTTAACAGACCATAATGCACAAGGCCAAATCATATGATTTTCAATTGGATGAGCAAGATCATCAACATTCACTAACATTAATCGTGCAAAACCCCAATGACAAGAAAAGAACAGATTATGTACCTTTTCTCCCATCGATTGGCGCTGAAAAGGAGGTGGATGGTGTGATCATCCAGCTGAGATTCATTCGAAAGATAAGCAGAAATCATCTGCCCAACACTAGTTGTCCTATCAGGAAATCGCCATAACTCTGCAGAGTGCCCAATTCCCTCCAAGTAAGAAACCAATCTAGCAGACTGCGAACTCTTCCCGCTTCGATCCAACCCTTCCAGAACTATCAATGCACCTCTTGGATCATTGCTTCCACCACCAGTCTTTAAACTCCCTTTGTTGCCTTTACTACTGTCACCCTCCATTCGAACTGACCTAAACGAACACCTCCAGGGACTAGTATTCAGACTAACAATCCGCGACCTTCCCGCCAGCAAAGTACCGAAATTTCTATAACCCAAAGAACTTGGCATCAGGAGGTGGGCAGCAGAATCAAACTTACAGAGCTTCAGAACATGTGGAAGAGCATGTACCTAGCTTATCACTTTGAAATTACACGGCCAGTGCACACCAAAACCACCAGTCCCCCCATGAATTTGTCACAAACCTTCACAAAACAGCATGGCAGAAGCCCATGTAAGTCCGAAATCCAGCGCAATAATCAGCAGGCAAGCAGCTACGGGCAATAATTAACCAATAATTTTTCCGAAGAAGCAGAGGAAGCAACATAAAAGCGAGAAAAGGGCCGATAGAAGACTGAAATCTCGGAGCAAGGAGAACCCTAGGCATTAAAAGTAAAACCCCGCAATGCAGGCGAGCATAATAAAGAGGAGAGGAGACGTCGAAGATGGAAGATTTAAAGATCGATGAACATTCTCGAGATGTTGAGGGGAACTTACCGGAGTGAATTAGGTGAAGGAATTCAGTAGCCACACTCCTTATTTGCTGCTGACGAGACTACGACGGCGGCGGAGCAAGAGCAAGAAGCCAAAAAAAAATGGTCCTTGCCTACCGTGAAAAGGCTTCTCAGAGAAACCAGAAGGAACGAAATGGGAAGAAGAGAAGACGAAACATAGAGATGGTTTTGGTCGTCTTTCTTCTGGGCAAGAAATGGGCTTGAAAATAGACTTTGGCCCAAAAGCTATAAAACCTACAAAATGAAAGGCAAGAACGAAAGATTGGGCTGATTAGTAGGTCTTCGGTTGGGACTTTATTCGACCCATATCATAATATTTTGGGGTGGGATACGGTCACATCCCCTATGGGGTTGTGAGATTCACAACCAAGGGTATTTTGGGCATGACAAAAAAATGAATTTATTTATTAATTAATTATTTTTTCTATTAATTACAGATTGGGAATTAAAAACCCATATTAAATACATGCTTTTTTAAATTTAAATCCTACATTAAATATAACTTTTCCTATCTCTCTCTTCCTTTCCTAGAAGACACACCACTCCGACCGACTGACTGACTTTCTGACCGACAAAGTTACTCCGGCGAAATCCTTGAATAATACTCGCTCCGACCACCTGCAAAAAATTACCGTTCCATCAGTGCGCTAGTGGTACGCTACCGCTACCACTGGTACCACTATCAGTACAGCGGTACCAATACCATCTGGTAGCTGGTAGTGGTAGAGTACCACTATCATTTGGTACCACTACCATCTGGTACCTGATAGTGGTAGCGTACCACTATCATTTGATACCATTACCTATCATTTGGTACCATTACTTGGTAGTGGTAGCGTACCGCTACCAGGTACTAAATTGTAGTGGTAGCGTACCACTACATCTAGTACCACTATCAGAAGAAAACCACTAGTTAAAAAACCAGATCTGAAAATCCAAAACTCACAGATCTGAAAACGAAGGAGAGGAGAGGAAGAGTATAGTGGCAGAGGGACTCACACCGAAAGAGGCAAGGAGAGGAGGCATGACAATGGCGGCAGGGAGTGAGGGAGGCGGAGGATTGTGGAGGCGGCGACGGTGGAGGGCTCGGCAGAGGGTGAAGGGAGGCTGAGGGATGATGGACGGCGACGAAGGAGGGCGCCGCAGGGGTGGAGGGAGGCGGCCGACGGCGAGGGCTGTGGAGGACGGCGGCGACAGTGAAGGGCGGCGACGTTGAAGGGCGGCGGTGTCGTCTGTCTGCTAGAGAGGAGGGAGAGAGGGAGGGTAGGAGGAGTTAGGGTTTTATGTATTTATATGGGAGGGAGAGTGATTGGGTGTGGTAATAATTTTTCCTTCCCAAAATACCTTTATTTTAATTCTAACCATCAATTTCAAAAAAAGAAGAGAGAGACAGGAGAGAGAGTGTATCCAATGGTTAGAAAGTTAGTTGTGAATCTCACAACCCCTCTAGGGGGATGTGACCGTATCCCAACCCTAATATTTTGATAAAGTACCCGTGGGTCGAATAATTTGCCTATATCGTAATATTATAGGGATCTTCTACAGTAACTTGGGTATAATTTCAAGTTAGGTAACTTGCATAGATCTAAATCGTTAAAATTGACCACACTTATTTTAAACTATTGATTAGAAAAATAAAAAATAAATAAATAACTAAAAAATAAATGGCAACATGAGTTGCCGGTCACTACATTCCCAAGTTACCTTTTTTAATTTTTTCTTTCCTTTTTTCACATTTAGTTGTCTTTCCATATTTTAACATTTTCTTTTTTAATTCTTATTGAATTAGAAGTGTTACGTAAGACTTCCGTAATAACTTAGCTCTTTACGTAACACGACGTTAATACTCATTACGTAAAGAGACCTTCTATTACGTAAGGCTTCCGTAATGATATTTTACAACTGTTACGTAAAATACCCATTCACTACGTAAAGGTTACGGAATGATAGTTATTTCTTGCGTAACAGTTAAATTGGAAGCGTTACGTAAGGCTTCCGTAATGACTTAGCACTTTACGTAACGCAAGGTTAATACTCATTACGTAAAAAGACCTTCCATTACGTAAAGGTTACGAAACGACATTTATTTCTTACGTAACAGTTAATTCAGTAGCGTTACGTAAGGCTTCCGTAATGACTTTGCATTTTACATAACGCGAGGTTAATACTCATTACGTAAAGACACATTCTATTACGTAAGGTTTCCGTAATGATCTTTTACAACTGTTACGTAAGATTATCATATGTTACGTAACCATTACGTAATGCCTATTGTGTTTTACGTAATACGACCTGTAAAACCTGCTATAGCAGGTAAAAAAATTCAAGTTACCGTAGGAAATCCCAATATTATAACATTCTTTTTGTATATAAAGTCCCAACCGTAATATAAGATTTACCTGAAATACAAATAATATTCATAAATTATTAATACTATTCATGTTATATACAAATTTGTAACAAAATTGACGTAGTTTTGCTTTTTAGGTGGGATCGGGTGGGAAGCAGGTTGGGTTTTGGAAAAAATATTCGACCCACTGGTACTTTAATTATTTGACTATATCATAATATTATCAAAATTTTCCCGAAAAATATATTTCTATACAGACTATAAAATTCATAAATTATTCATAATATAAGATTAACTTAAATACAAATAATATCCATAAATTATTCATATTATTCATGTTATATACAAATTTATTTGTGGGGTTTATGATCCATTCCTGGTGGAGTTGTTTGCTCTCCGTGATACTGTGCGCTAGTGTTTATCTCGAGGATTGCGGTCGGTATGCTTTGTTGGTGATGCAAAATTGGTCCCGGATAAGGTGTATGCTGAGCAGACTGCAGATGTTGTTGGTGGAGTCATCCTGGAAGGGATCTTGCTCTTGCAGCGAGAGTTTTTGTCCTTTCAGGTTCGGTTTGTAGGAAGAAACTTTAACAGAGTAGCCCACTTGGTGGCTCGTAAAGCCCTTTCATTGTTTTCTCGGTTGGGAGGGTTCGATTTTACTTTTTGGCTATTTTCGGTCATGTGACATTCTTGTATCTGGGTGTTTTCTCGTTAATACGAGTGATCTTTTGACAAAAAAATGTTGTATACAAATTTAGGCTCTAGATAGGGTGCATAACTAAATCTAGACCTTTCTTTTTAAGTGGGTCCAGAAAATTCAGATCTAATGGTTGAGAATTAAAAGCATTTTATTTTACATAGTTTTCTTAATTGACTCTTATCTTGTTTGTTCTAACTCGTTTTTTTTTCCACAGATGGAACGACTTCGTTGTGCTCTATAAAATGATATCCATTTTTAATATTTTTTTTAGAAAACAAATTTCATACCTCTCGTTACCAACTCCATACCATATAGTATCTCCTTCGTTTTTAAGTCGATTTTGAAAAATTTTGAACAGAAAGAATGAGTTCATCATGATCTATTGGATCTTAAAATCTCTGGGTGAAAAAAATACAGGACCAAAAAATACGGGGGTGGTATCTTGTCGTACACAATGTTGGAAGCCATAAATGACTGTTGGTATACTTCTAGTATCATTTATTCAACCATCCTACAGTCTTTGTATGTTCATATCATCATGGTACGCTTTTTATACTATATTGTATGCTCTTATTTTAATATCAATCAATACCACCATGGTATAGACTTGTAAAAAATGTCGCAATTTTTTTGTTTAAAAAATATATCAAAGTAAATATTATTTCGAAGAGCACAACTAATGTGATTTATCTGTGCAAAAAAAATTGAATTCCAACTTAAAATGAGAGAGAAATCATCCGTTAAATATTAAAGGGAAAATTAAAGGTTAATTTCTAAGAGAGAGGGCGCTGATATGGCAGATTCTGGTTGGGTTATGCATGGTTATTAACCTGTAGGTTATTGACAGGATCTGGTTCCCAAATTTATAACAAAATTGATGTAATTTTGATTTTTAGGCAAAATTTTGATAATATTATGATATGGGTGTTCAGAGAAATAATGTATAGCCATGGACCAAATCAAACCGCACAGTTTGGTTCAAACTGTAGATTGTTAAAAATGGTAGCTTTGGTCCATGGTCTATATTATGTAATGTTTTGATCTCTTGGTCAGGTATAATGGGGGTTCACCGAACCCAATCGTGCACCAAACTGTCTTTCCCAATACATGTTAGCGGCCCAGTCGACCACTCCCAACTCCCCCCCCCCCCCCCCCCCCAACGAGACACAAGTCTCAACCCTAATTTTGAGAATCCCGTCTCCTCCTTCATTCACAACCACATTTCACCAGAGTAGAGTAGAGACGATCGTGTTATGACGTTATGGTGCAAGCTGAGATGTTTTGACTTTGTATCTTTGTTATTTATTGAATTTTAGAGTGTCAAAATTATTCATCTATGTTGGAATTAATGTTTTAAGGCAAAAACAATTTTTTCAGTTATTGGTTCGATTTTTTGTGTGGTTGATTAAATAAATTGTTCATTTTTCATTCAATATGGTCTATATGGAACATACCATACCGGACTGCACGGGTGTGGAATGAGTTGAACTGTTTAGTATGTGGTATGGTCTCTAGTCTATACTCTAGCCTCTCAGTAGGATCATAGACCGTATATATGATCCGATCTAGACTAAACTGCAGCGTTTCCCAGCCCTACCTAAGAAAGGTTTGAATTTTCATATCACTCAATCATGTTTGAGTGACCAATATTATGAATATGTGATTCTGAGTCCAAAGTTAGATGTTATACTCGTAGTGGTTTGGGTGAGATTTTGCTCAACTTCTTCATTATGTCAAATTTTGCTCAAATTCATAGTTTGGAAAGGGATTAAAATTGAGAGATTTTGAAATCGAAAAATTTCAAAACCTTCATAGGATTTCGAAATAGCTAACTCCCCAACTATTTCAAAATCCCTCATTATTGGTCTTTCATCTCAATTTATCCCTTTTAATTTAAGTAAATCCAAACTTGTCTTCACCCACACAAGTCTCATTTCTTATTCATCCTCCACCTAAGAACGGAATTCTGGCCAATCTTTATCTCCCTGTCGGAGGGTACTGTCACGGACCAACTCTTGGCCGTGCGGCACTTAGCACTCAAGTCTCGTTAGAGCGCTAAGTCAGCCTTGCTCGTATTCACTCAAACTCACAAGT